GGCGCAGGTAAAAGGATCTTAAGATGTGATTGGCATGACAATTGAATTTTAAAAGAAAGAATTGATGGTGCTAAAACATAAAATGAATCTGCATGTTCTTAAAGGAAAATCCAATCGAATTGCTTTAAGTGATATGAGAATGATAAGATTTTAACCATATGGGTAGAAGGGGGGTCCCTAGGTTAGGAACGTGACATGCTAAGTTTTAATAAGCTTTCTGTTTTCAGATCGAGTTTGAAAAACAAAGTTGAAAATCCAACTACACTCAAGCGAGAAACAAAAAGAGAGAATCTTGATTGAACACGCGATAATCCGAATCTACAGCAAGTAGTTGCAAGAGAACATTTCTAGAGAATTCTTGAATTGGGTAATACTTGAGTTGGTAAGATAATTCTTGAGTTGGTAAGGTAATTCTTGAGCTGGTTAACATCTACCTATATACATCCCGAAGTTGCAAAAATGGCAGACCGATTCTGGAACTCCGTGCCCGCGGCTCTGAAGAAGCCCACTCTTGACCAGCTGTACAGACGCTTGAGGGACCTGGACTACACCCAGATAGACGAGAGAATGGCGGTGATGCTGAATGCGATCCTCCAGTTGGAGGACCAGGGTGAGTGCAGGGAGTCTGCGACGGAGGCTGTCTTGATGGTCGGCTACACCACCGAGGGCATATCAAATCGAGAACAGACCGGATGGTTATCTTGGAATGCGGATGGAGGAGTAAGGGGCTTTGACTTGGCAAGAAATCCTGGCCTGAGTAACAACACCGAACACGGCGCAGGAGAGTTTCCGCTACCGACGAGACCAACAGCAAGATCCACAGGCCAGAGCTCGAGTAAGGTGCCGTCGATGTCGCGAGCGCAACAGACGACAGAGGCATATCCGGATCTGGGGGTTCTAAAGAAAGAGCTCGAGAAGGCGCTGAAGGAGAGGAATAAAGCGAACCTCGATCGGGATCAGGCGAAGCTGGACAGGGAGAAGCTTCAGCTGGAGAGAGACCAGGCAGTCGACGAGCGAGATCAGACGTCGAAATTACTTGAGATGCTAAGGGCTGAACATCAGCAGGAGCTGAGGGTGCGGGAGAACGTCGCAAATCGTGATCAACTGAAGTCGGAGTTGGAAAGGATAGAACAGCGACAACGCGAGCTTGACGCACAGAAGGGAGCCAGGTCAAACGAACGAGTGGTGACCAGCTCGAGGCCAGAGTCGCGCATGGAGGTGGATGAAGCTCCCAGGGCTAGAGGACGGTTCAACCTTGACCGCGAGGCCAGAGAACACATGAGCGAAGGGTTAGAGGTCTGGATACCGAATGACGTGACGCCTTCCTTGCGCAACCTAGAGACACAACCTGTACGTCCTCTGATGGATGTGGTGTTACCAGGATATACCCCAACCTCGACCTCGAGTGGCAGTCAGGTGAGTGGCGCCTCATCGCGCCTGAAGGAGCTAGGCGAGAAATTGCAACAGCAGAGTCGTGAAAGATCGACAAGGCCAGAGCTTCCCCCAACTTGGAGGGAACAGCCGGTCAGGAATGTCGTGATCGCAAGCTATAAGAAGAATACAGAAGGGAACTACCACAGGCACAATCGGCTGGACTGGAGTGCGGAACAGGGAGCCAGGAGGGACTGCTTCCATGACGCAGCCTGGGTGGAGTATCTAGCGCCACCTCGTGTGCCAGAGGGTGCAGTTCACCTAATTATAGGGGATAGCCTGGTGCGGGTGTTGACCCAGATACGGTCCCATTGGCAGACAGGAGTCTTGAGTTTCGCTGGAGCTGCCACGCCACAGATGTTGGCAACCCTGGACATGCTAGGGATGACCAAAGTTTACACAGTGACCCTGATGGTTGGGACCAACGACGTGTCAAGGGGAGAAGCGAGGAAAGTAGCGAGGCTGTGCGACAAGATGAGCTGCCTTCTTGAGGAACTGAGGATCCAGATGGACCCCATCCTGCTGACGGTATGCACGGTCCCCTACAACATGATGTTTGATCAGCACGCCCTAGAGATGAACCAGAAGGTGCGGAGCCTGAACAAGATGATCCGAGACATACACCGGAAGAGTGTGCTTCCTCTCAGGCTGTTGGACATAGCAGAACGTATGGAGAAAAAGGGATTCCCTGAAGACACCTCAAAAGATGGAATCCATTTCGATAGGCCAAGGGGAGCGGAGTGGCTGAACGACGTCTTCCAGGAACACATTAACACGCTAGAGGCGGACCTGCTGGAGACAGCCCAATTCACTTTAGGACCACCTCCCAACCCACCATTCCTTGCCTCGAGGGCCTTGGCTGGTCGCTTGGGAGCGAGAGTTGATGCTAGAGACAGTTCAAGGAGCAATCAGACCCGATTGCAGAGTGCCACGCCAATGGAGTCGGAGGAGGTAGAGTCATCAACACCTCCGGGCTCGGCGATGTCCTCTGTGGTGGTGGCAGATGGCAAGAGAGAAAAGAAGTCTATGGAGACTGCCCGCTTGAGATATCCTGAGAAGGTGAAGGAACTGGATCTAGAGAGTTTGGAATGCAGACGAGAGTTGGCGGAAACCCTGGGGATCGAACGAGTGTCGCACGAGGATCTGAATAGACATCATTGCATAGACTGGTTGAAAGCTCACGAAGCGCACTTCTCGAGAGCGAAGTTAATGGAGACCACAGACCTGACTGGAATTCCCACAAAAACGATCATGGGACCCATTAACTACAGGCCTCTCAAACTGTTGGGGGGTCCTGGACTTATAACAGAACCTCCCAAGCACCGAACTGGCATCGCTAGGATCAGGTTGGCAACACCGGCGCAGTTGAAGGTGGTAGACAAGCTACTCAATCCGGGGGGAATGGAATTGCCTGATGCCGCTTACGAAGGTCCGAAGTTGGCAGAAGATCCCAGGTACGGGAAGCCCTGTGGTGGCACCCAACTGGCCAAAACTCTGGCAGTTTATGATAGAGCAGATCCAGCTGCTGCAAGAGAAGTCATTGTGGCGGGATCGGACTTCGAAGGAACGTCTCCCAAGTTGTTCTGGCCGGAGACTCTGGTATACTCCTTGCCAGGAGCCGAATTGAACCAGATGTTGACTCTAGTGGTGGCAATAAAGTCGGAGATGCCCTGTGAACCTGAGCTGCTAATGTTTGCAGGAATGAATGATCACCTGCACGCGATGGGACTTCTTGAGCAACTGAAGGGCAAGGAGATTCCGACATCAAAGAAGATATGGGAGGCTATTCAGGCGTTATTTGCGGCGATGAATGAGGTACAAGAGAACGTAGCCTCGAGATTTGGGTCCAAGACGAAGGTGGTGTTTACCACATCCCCGGGATACGCAAGTATGCCACCCGCCCTACAATTCGTGTACGCGGTCTTGATCCTGATAGCAGAAGGGAGTGAATGGCGGATTCTGATGGCAGCCCCCAATCGAGAGCTGGAGCCATTGAACTTGAGGCTTTACAAATCAGAATTGCCGGCGGCATGGGCTGACATATCTCATGCACTGAGGGGCTTTTACGGACTGGCCGACGTCCTGATTGTATTGGATGAGGTACTCTTGCTAGAGATATCGAACTTTGCTAGACAACTCAAGTTCAGCCCAGTCATCGGGGACGACCACCCGGCGATAAACCAGTTGACGGCCAGCCTGTGGTTCCGGAGTATGGATGTGAAAGTCGCAAATTCCACCAGCAGGACTAGAGGTCCCAACAACGAGAGAAGAAATGTGGTCGAGACGGAGAAACAGTTAGAATCGATGAAATATCGCTTGACTCAAGAGAATGGCTGGTGGCCATTCCTGACACCAAGGCTGGAGAACGTCACGAATAAGACGAGGGAGGAAGCACCACTCCTCGTGAAACAAATCTGGAGTTTTCTAGAGAAGCAACTGGAGCTAGCGGAAACGAGAGACATGACGGTGGTTAGATTTGTCTCGGCCGCCAATGAAGTGACGATTGGAGGATTTTGGAGAGAGCACGCCAACGGCGAATTGAAGACTAGGAGAGATTACGAGATTCTCAAGTTCTTGAGTCCTTGCTGGGAGAGAGAATTCTTGGCAGGAGTGTTCGGCACCACGGCGACTATCTTCGGAGCCTTCGTACAGGAGATACTGGGCATGTCCATCAGCCTGCTCTTGGCCCTGTATTTGGTTTACCCCAGATACTTGTTCAACATGGGCCCAGCATACATGTTTAGTCGAGGAGTGGAGACACTTCGAGTTGATGGGTATCTGGCACTAGTACTCTTGACCCATGGGGAATTGGTATCGTTTCATCGGTTAATGGAATATGGAGAACCTCTGTCTATGGGGAGAGTCCACACGAGCATTGAAACCAGCTCCTACAAGTGTGCCGCAGGGTTGAAGACACTGCTGGTGCAATACCTGATGATGCAGAATCGATACATGACGGGTGAAGATGAGAACCCAACCTCGAGAGAAGAATGGGAGAAGGCGAACAGAGGGATGCCTCTGTTGACGGACCTGTGCCTGGCAATGAGGTCGGACCCAATGGGGATAATCCGGGGTCTAGAGGAGGTGGTGACCTGCATCTATGGTCCAGCAGTGACGTACGCGTTTCCAGATCCCCTGGTGATAACGTATCGTCACTCGGTGACGCACTTGAGTCTCATCAGCGTACTGGATGGTACAGCGCTGAATTGGTGTCAGCAGGAGGTGCTCAGGGCGCGTATGAGCAACACGGTACTCTTCGGAAAAGTGAAAGATGCTGAGATGATGGTGTGCAACTTCAGGGGACAAATGCAATGCAGAATGGGAGGCAAGCGAGAGGGCCCATTGAAATGTATCCAAAGTTTTGGAACCTAAACCCATTGACGGCCAACGGACGAGAAGTCTTGAGAATCCCCGCCTGGAAGGAGTGCTTTGCACTAGTCAAGAGGGAGCTGGAGGCCATAATGGAGAAAGAAATCCTACCAGCCACCATGCCTGAGTTCCCGACAGTCAGGAGGATGACCTTGGGAATGAATAGTCCCTTGGTGGTTCCCTCCATAATGGCGAAGATGATGACGGAGGAAACGCAGAGGCATTTCACGGATGGCTGGGATCCCCTGTTCATCGGCTACACGGCGGCAGTCTACTTCCACATCAGCGAGAGGAAGGTAAATTCGTGGACGACGCAAGCGAAAAAGAGTAGAGGTTCGCAGCCCCCTGGATATGAGGTGCGGAAAGTCTTGAGGACTCTTGAAAAGGAAGGACTTGAGAATATGCTACCCATATGGGATGATGGCAGGATGATCGTGATGGAGGGACACGTCGCATTGGTGGACGAAATGAAATTTGCCACGAGAAAATACAAGGCACCCTATGGCTTGGAACAAGTAGAAGTGACACAGGAGGGAACAGAACTAGATGCAGCAGGTCAACTGCATGTAGCCCTGACGGAATATAAAAAGCTGGATCCTACGACACCGTCACCACTGTCTGTAGACACGCCTGGAGACAAGAGGAGTGGACCCGTTGAGGATCGATTCAAAAGAATTCTCGAGAGAAGAAGAAATGAATCAGAGGAAGAGAGTATGGATGAAACTCTCAGTGAAGCTGGAGAAGACATGGAGGTGGGGAATACACCTGAACCAGGGCCATCAGGGGAGGAACTCACCACTCAAGAGCTGTTGAAAGACTTGAGCGAAGAGAATTGGGCAGATACTGCCACACCACCTCTGAAACCGTCCCCGCGGAAGAACCTAGAGTTGCCATTGGCAGGTGAGACCTTCAATATGGGGATGTTACTCTTGAGCTCGGAGGAAAGGGAGAAGAACACGTTCGAAGGGAACAGGGACATATTCTTGGGATCTCTCGAGGATGACGCTTGGCAGGAATTCCTGGGGGAATTCAATCGAGAAGTGGGCAGCGAGACGACGCTGGACAAGTTCAAGAAGGAACTGTGGGACGCAGTAGTGAGATTCGGGGAACCGCTCCTGATAGGAACGGGCCTGGATGAGAAAGCAAGAAGAGAGCTGCTGAACAAGCTAGTGGAGCTGAGGAACGCACGATCGAAGACTAGAAAAGAGAAATGTGAGGACAGCTCTACTCTGAAACAAAAAACTGTGGATAAAATGGTTGATGATATAAAAAGGGATAAGGTTGGGACTAGTAATATGATTAAAAGTACTAATATCCTTAAGGCTCGAGCAGGGGGGAGGCAAGAGTTGGAAGGAGTGGATGGAGAGGTCGAATCAATGATGATAGCCACAACACCCTCGAGCAGAGATGTGAAGACTCGCAAGAGGAAGAGAGAAGTGGAAGGATGGGGTAGTCCTTCAGTGGATGCTGTTTCGGAAGGAAACTTGAGAGAGACGGCGCCCATCGTTTTGGCCCGATGCAAGACGGCGGCATACAAGAACAGCTCGGAGCTCAGGAAACCACTTGAAGTAGAAAAGGAAATAGAGGTTTCCACCAGTTCGACGTCAGAAGAAGACTTCAAGCCTCAGAAGGTAAACGTGAAGAGAGGTTCAACGAACGGACAGGTAGGGGAAGTGGAGATCGGCAAAGAATGGATCTCGAAGGCACATCAGGACATGGGCAAACAAGTGACGAGTGATCCATTGGAGAGGAGCAAGACGAGGAACACTTCCCGGACGTGGTGGGTGGCCCTCGAAACATTGAAGGAAATGGAGGACTGCTTGAAGAAGTTGGACAGTGGAATAGCTCGCAGGCGACGCAATTGGGCCACCCAGCAAAAAGCCGAGGTTAATAAGATAGAGATGGCAAGTCATCTGAAGAGGTCCTGGCAGAGTTTGTTGAAGGATCATTTTGAAGAGGCGATGAGAACATCCTCATCAGCACCGCCACTAATGGCGAATCCCTTCGTTAGAACTGCGGGACAATTAATGTTCACCTGGAGTCTGGTGGGAATAGAGTTGGAGACATTGACCTCGTATGACAGGCTGAAGTTGGGAAGCAAGAAGCTAGAGGTGTATCAGGCACTGATGCAACACGTGGCCAGGGACAATTCAGGCTTGAGCCTGGCTAGAAGAAAAGATGCCACATGTTTCTTGAGATGGACAATGTCAATGATGTCTGATAGCACCATCCTGGCATGCCACCAGAGAGCAAGTGGAAGTAAAACCATGGAGAGAAGAGTCTCAACGATCATCTTGAACGTATATCAGAGTACAGGAATAGAGAAAGAAGATGGTTCCAGACTATCCTTAGAGAACCATCGAAAGCTGGACGAGGTACGGAGGTTCTCTAATAAGAAGTTCGAGGAAGAACATGATGTTCACCGTAACCTGGCCTCGTCAGAACAGTACTCGAGACTCAGTGAGAAGGGGGAATACCAATATGTGTCTGGAGTGATGGGAATAGCCTACAATCCCTTCTTAGACTCGGAAGCTGGAGGAGCCCACAGAAACCATGAGGTAGCGGAGCTACTGAAGTTTTGGACAGAAAGAATAATGGAGATAGACGCGGTGGAGAAAGAGGGGCCGAGCCTGGGCCTGATTCTTGAGAAAACACCAGAGGTGATAAGCATACCGCGCTCAAACAAGAGAGTTGAAGTGAACATGGGCGGTGGAGATGGCTTGTTAACCACGAACTTGGGAGTGATATGGAAGCTACTAAGACCCTCCTGGTGTCCACATCCCCATGCGAGTCTAATCGAGGAAACCACCGAGCGAGTGAGGTTAGCACCAACGGAAGATGAAGATCTGGCGAAGTTGAGTGTGCTACATAAGCTAATCACACCCCAGATGCAAGAGCCAAGCGAAAGGACGAGCGACCCCGGGTCAGCAAAGAAATTGGAGCCGGGTAGCTGTCTGGATTCGACGTGTGGGAACGGAGAGCACATCTGCGATGGACGGTCATGCGTCAGAATACTGTCGTTTCAAAAAGAAGACCTGGTCACTTGGTTCGAAGACATCACAGAAAGGGAGAAAAGTGAAGTGCAAATAATAGCGGAATGTTACGCGAGAACCACGGTGAATATAGCGACAGCTCTCGGATTCTTCTCGAGAATGTGTGGTCTGCAGGCACTGGAGAGACTGGAGTCTGAACATCATTTAGTGACGGCGTTGAGCGTAGAATCATGGCCCGGGGTGTTGCAGGTGACTCAAAAACACATCCGGAGCTGGAAGGTTGGTCTTGAGGCGGAAATGGGATTTCCCATGAGCGAAGCTTATGGCTTGCCATTGAACGCGAAATCGCTGATAGGGTCAATGATGGCCAACTTGTGCGGAAGTCACTACCCGCTACACATGGCGATGGTGGAAGTGTCCAGCCAGAGAATACTGGTGGACAAGGCCTTCTCAGTGCCCAAGTGTGTGAGGTTGGCTCGGATGTCGCATCACTCGCACAAGTTGTTGAGAAAAATCAAAGGGACAGTACCAAAAGAATTGAGAGATGACTTAAGCGAAATCTGGGGAGAAGATCTTCTGAAGTTGGAAAGAGAAAACACGAGCGATCACGAGAGACAAAACGTGATCGGGAAACCTGTGGGAAGTACTCCGAACCTGGAAGACAACGACACGATGCACGAGAAAATGATGGAGCTTGAGCCTCTCTTGGAAGCCTCAGGGGAGCGTAATCTCAGGAGCATTGAGATCTCTCATGGGGAATGCCCATGCCACTGCTTGGCACAAACGGTGTGGTATCCAGATCACAAGAACCTTTGCCTGGTGTGGGATGTGGAAGAGATTCGGTCGATCGGACTACCGGATCACCGGCAGAAGGTGACGCTCTTAGTAGTGAGTACGATGTTAGCCCTGAGATGGATAGAAGAGAATATAACGAAGTATCGGGAGGCGACGACGCCAACGGCTGAGTCAATATACGCGATAGACTACAGCAGGAGACTCGAGTTGTTTGAGACTGCGTGCAAAGTATTCGCCATACCGACGGAAGTCAGGCACGTATGGAGTCGCTTGAGGTACTTTCCATGGTTTCGGGCGACACTGACGTCTTGGTTGTACATGACAACGAAAGATCACATGAGAAAACATCAAAAAGAGTATCGACAGTTCCAGGCCGAGATTGGGCCGGAAGCTTTCAAGAGACCCCTGCTAACCCATCGTAATGCGATCACGACAGGATGGAAAAGAGTGGGTAAGATGTCTAGAGACAATACCAAAGCGAGGGAGTCGATACTAGAGGAAGACCTGGCGAAGAACGTGAGCTTGAGCCTGCACAACTCCTTTTGCTTGAACCGAGAAGCTAGGGTGAAGGCACTACCCAACCAAGCAAAGAGATTGCAGGAGCAGAGAGAATGGATGCGATCCTATGAACAGCTGAAGGCTTGGGAGGAGATTGTGATTAGTTCCGATGATGAAGAGGAACTGTTGAGACAGTTTGCCGCATCTAGCACTTCAGGATGCAGTACCTCCAAGGTGAAGAGCACGAGATGAATGGGCAAATCGGATGGATCTTGAGTCTTGAGAGGGAAGGGGGGCTTGAGCGTGGATCTGAGTGAAACTTGGATTCACGAAAAAGAAATTTTAACAAAGCAAATATTGTTACTAATATACTATATTTATTATATAAATCGAAAATGCTGCATGACAATTTCCTGATTGAATAGGACAAAAGAGATTTTAAAATGATTGGCTTGAAAAGCGAAAATTCAAGGGTGCAGGTGTATGCAGATTTTGGTTGCTGTTTAGCAATAGTGTGAAAATTTTAAATGGCTGTGAATTTTGGGGTGTAGATAAGCTTAAATCTGCTGCAAACTTCTGTAAATGACCACTGGCACTGTATCTTGAGCAACACTCGGTTTTTCTGGGACTCACTGGCAGAAGACAGCGCGCGATGAGGACATCGATCTCGAGTCCGGGGAGTATGTGCCAGTCGGTCATATTTGGAAGTTTGACCTTGAGAGAAGCAAAAAACACTTGATTTTGGAGTGAAATTTAATTTTTCAAAGTTTCGAATGGAACCTGTCATGCACGATTTTCTCGCGAGAACTGAAAATCAGAAAAAGAGATCAGAACAATTTCAGAACGATTAAGACACACACGCGGGAAAGTCGCAAGAAAAAACAGTAGGAAATTGCTATTCGCAATTTCCATCACTATAATAATCGAGAGTAGAGCTGTCCCATCTGTGACAGAGACGAGAGCATTCCCTCGAGTTGGATTATTACGATTGGAATACTATTCTTGACTGGACCAGAGTGAACCTTCGGTGGAAAGGTGGACAGCTAGAGTGTCCCAATGGTTCACGAGAACTTGCAGTCTAGAGTAAAAACTTGTTCTTGTTGTTGAAACTGACTAACATTAAACTCATATTAGTTACTTTATTAATTCTTGAGTTGTTTACCGACTTATTTACTTCCTGGTTCTTGAGCGTGCTACAATGTGAGTACTTAATTTAAATTCTAGAGTGTGTTTTATGATTGTTATGTTGAGGTAAGGCGAGTTTTAGGTTGATCCATCTGAAATGGATCAAAGTTCCACTGTCTAATAAAAAGTAACTTAACGGATTGTTCCAACCCGGTTTTTAACGGCGTTCATGTATTTTGGGTATCTAGAGACCTAAGTATGGGGACGTTTCTAATTCTAGAGTGGGGGGATATTTTAGTAGTAGCCTTTAAGCTGTAACGGGTCGTAGTCTCATGTCACAAGCGAACCGAACTGGCTCCGACCGTTCTTGAGGTAGAAAAACACAAGAGATAGTGTCCCTGACCCTTGAGCCAGTGGTTATAGGGCCTATTTTTCTTAAGCCTCATGTGTGACTGCAGTAGACGAATGTTACAAAAAACTCTTTGAGACACGGAGTCAAATGTTTTTTGCATGTCACAGTAGACAGCACAAAAGTCGTCAAAAATATCATTGCAAGTATAAAGTTTATCAATGTAATATAATTTAAGTGCATGGCTTTTACATAAAACCAAGTTGGCAATAAGACAGTTTATGCCTAATTTTGAAATACATAATTTTTTTAATTAGTTTTTTGGAGACATAAAGACAAATATGGGAGGATACTGACATCGCGTATTTAGTAATACTTAAATTTTTAGAGAAAGAACTTTGGCGTTCTGCCCCTGCACAAATGGTGGAAAGCCATCAGCTGCTACTGCTGAAGTATCTGGTAATTTATGTAACAGATCAGCAATATCCTTTTCAGAGAATGTCCACCTTTCCACCGAAGGTTCACTCTGGTCCACTTCTAATTTATCTCTTCTTTACTCGCGATCGCACTGCCTTCTGTTTCGAATAAGACAGCTCTACTCTCTTGTAATCTTATATCTGGAAATTGCGAATATCAATTTCCCGCTGCCTTTTCGACTACTTTCCCGCGATTGTAGTTCGGTTCTTCTGATATTATTTTCTGATATTTTCAGTTGTCGCGAGAAACTTGAGCATGACATGCTCAATTCGATTTTTTGAAAAATTCCATTTCACCCCAAAATCATGTTTCTTGCGTTGCTCAAGGTCAAACTTCCAAATATGACCGACTGCCACAGGTAGGAAGTGTTGGACGTGTCCAACCCCAGCACCAGGTAGGGACAGAATGTTGATCTCAGGGTAGTTGATATGCTTCACCTGAGTCTCTAAGAAAAAGACCTCTTGTGGGATGATTGGCAAACGTGATATCTCTTTTAAACATTCGCGAAGGTCTCTGAAAACCTTCCATTGAAGGTACTCCACACGTTGCTTTTGAAGACATTTGACCTATTTAATAAGTTTATCAGAACAAAAAAACTTTTTATCGCAAGTGGAACTTTTTTTCAAGTACTCTTTCTTTTTCTACATTTAATCAGTTTTTTATCAACTTATTTTCTTTCAGTGAGAATTATGATTTGGAGACTCCTTACCTTTCTCCTAGTTATCACTAGTGCAACTTGTATTCAATTTATGTTGGACAGTGGTAAACGAAAGTGCTTGAAAGATGAAGTTCATAAAAATGTCTTGGTTACTGGAGACTATCAACTGACCGAAGGGGGAACCGGATCAAATGTACACATTCTGGTACGACTTTTTATGGAACCATCAACCAGCTGGTACTAAGCTTCTAGAATTGATTTTCATAAATTTGACCTTGTTGCAGGTAACTGACATGAAGCAGCACGTTCTCTTCACCAAAGAAGATGCAAGCAGCGGAAAGTTTGCGTTCACCACTGAAGATTACGACCGCTTCGAAGTCTGCTTCATTTCACAGGGACCTGAAAGCGGACCCAGTAGAGAAGTTAAGTTAGTGTTGAAACATGGAGTTGAGGCCAAAAACTACGAAGAAACAGGAAAAGTGGAAAAATTGAAGCCCCTGGAGATTGAACTGAGACGACTGGAAGACTTGAGCGAGTCCATAGTCAATGACTTTTCGTACATGAAGGAGCGAGAGGAATACATGCGGGATACAAACGGTGAGTACAAAGGAATTTTCTAATCGCTTTGCGTTTAATTTTTGAAATTTACAACATGGTTGACTTTCTGTGTCAATGGAATCGAATTATTCTTGTTTTCAGAGTCGACGAACAGTCGAGTGCTGTACTTCAGTGTCTTTTCCATGTGCTGCCTGTTTGGTCTGGCTACCTGGCAAGTGCTCTACTTGCGCAAGTATTTCAAGTCAAAGAAGCTAATTGACTAATTAATCCGAACCATTTTACCACGCCATGCCCCAACTCCAAACGTACAAAATTGACACTAACACCACCGACTGACTGCAGAGAACCAAAAAAATTTATGAAAAGTTGGTTGTCAAATGGACCTGGTACTACGAAATACTAACTGAATTTCTAGTGCATCGTTGCAAATAGTACCCATAATTGATCCCTAGAAAAAAGCGCAATCATTTATCGTTTATAGAAGGTAAAATAAATTGAATTTATTCCAACTTGTGTATATTTATTTGTGAAGGGTTGAACGTGACTATATAAAGTATGTAATTATGTTCAATTTCATGGTTTTAACTCCTATACGCTTATTTTCAGCTGCTGAATATCTCGGGTTTTTCGGTTTGCGCGATACTACTATGTTGAGCGTTTCTTACCCTTGGAGCTTCAAGACTTACTATTGATCAATAAAATTTGATATTTTGTACGCCTTTAGCGAATTTGATTTTTCCTTATTTTGAACCTACTTTTGGACGCAATCCTTTCCTTGACCTGGTTGTAAAAAAAGTATGCGTACAATACTTAATTGATATCACCGAAAAACTAATGAAGTTTTGCGTAAAAAGCTACAATTTTGGAAAGGATTGAAGTCTCTAAGCGTTAAATGTATGTATGTATATGTATCTATGATATGATTCGGTTTTCAGGTGCTTCAGTAAATTAGTATGTTTCATGTTTTGAATGTTTCAAATTTTCTTTGAATTGAAGCGAACACATGGTTAAATGATACAATGTTTTAAACTTAGAACAAAGATAGCCAGCTGCTGTACAAGTAGCGCAGAATGTTCCGACTACACTGATTTAAAAAAAAATTCCAAAGGTTTTTTTTTCAGCTTTTAATTTTTTTATCCTTTCTTGCTATTCTTTGTTTTGTATAGAGCGACTGAATAAGATAAAAATGCAAAATTGAATAGTAATAAATGCTAAAATATTGGTGAAATAACGTTGAAATTGTATTAAGGCGATCAGCCTCTCGATTGTTGCCTTGTCTAATTTGATCAGAAAATGTGGTACGAAAAGACATTAAGTCAATTATTTTGAATTTTTTATTGGGCTTTAGTAGGATGCTACACGTGAACCTCAACGAGCGTTCTTTGGGGTAGTCGAAATAGAGAAAAGAATCATACTCAGCACATAGATCCTTCCCACAAAGAAAGCTTTACTCTAAAATGTTCTTTTTGCTACGTTTCAGTTTACCATGTCTGAGTTTTTCGAGAAAGAAGCAGAACTATCTGAAGATGAAGAAAATCAAGTGTCTTCTGATTCAAGTAAGAAATTGAAATAAATAAGTTATATAAAAGATAACATAATTCCTGAGCAATAATAATTATGGTTATTATATAAATCAAATAGAGCATACATATTTTTGAGAATTCGGCCAGTTTTGCGAACCTTTTGAGGATTTGGATATGATTAGCACTTAAGTTCACTCGGCTCACCTTCAATGTCTCGTGGCGTCGACGGTTTTTTGTTTGGGGAGGGGGCGGTAATATGAGCTACAGTAGCACCGCAATGATAATTTTTGGACAAATTGTGATGCAGATGTCCTTTATAGGATATAGTTTGATGAATTTTACAGGCGATGAAGAAGAGGACGAGGATGATGACAATGCCATTGATCCCGAGTTGAAGGACTTCATCACTGACGACGTGGAGATGGCAGAAGGCAATGCCGAGGGAGGTGCAGATGGGGAAGGGGAGGAGGATAATGACGAGAGCATAAATCGGAAGAAGAAGAAAAAGGAGAAGAAGAGACCCCTGGAAGAAGAAGACGACGAGGTGAGACAATTAAGATAAACATTTTGAACTATCTTAAGAGTGGATTAAAATGTACGTAGCTGTTATTGTCTTCGTTGTATCTTTGTCTGTTTTTTTTCGATATTTTTTTGGTGGTGTTGCGAAGAGCTCCGATCTCGCTTGTCTTCAAAAAGTGATAATTTTCAAAGTAATAGTTCTTGAAAAATCGAATGTGTTACACATTCTCGAGCAGTCAAAGTTAGTTGAAATTTTCATAGGAGTTTGCTTCAACCTATGTTTATTTTTTTATATGTTCAGGTAGACGACGATGACCTTGACCTGATAGAGGAGAACTTGGGAGTAAGGCTGAAGAAGAAGAACAAGTTGACCAGAGTCATCGTGGACTCGGATGACGAAATGGCCAAAGAAGACATACCAGAGGCCAAAAAGGTATTGTCTGAAACTGTATACTAACAATAAACAAAAACATACACCATTTATTAAAAAGTTATTAGCTTAGCATTAATACTCAAGGTACATTTGAAGATTTTTCTGTTCGGTCTGTTAATTCGAAAATTTTATCTGAAGCGCACACCTTAATAAGAGAATTCGTAAATTACTTCGTTCGATTTTCACGTGGGGTGTCGCTTTACAGTTTACAGGAGTATTTGTTTTTTTTCCTAACAGTTCCAGAACATTCGCACTATCTATTTCTGTATGCGAATTTGTTTCCAGGCAATCGAGAGAGATCTGTTCGACTCAGAGGCTTCAGAAGAAGGAGAGTCGGGAGACGAGAAGAAAAAGAAGCCAAAACACAGGGAAGTGGAGAGGCCTCTGGAGCATCCAGGTGTCCCGGATGACGACGAGGAGGAAGAAGAGTCTGACGATGACAATATGAACAACTTCCTTGTGGACGACGATATGGTAACAAAATTCTTCCCCGCAACATGATTCAATTAAGGGATAACTTGGAGCAAGGTGTATTTTTTAGTGGGACAATTTGAGGGTTTGACTTAAGCATTCATTGATTCGTTTTCTTCACGGGGGATGATTTTGTTGTTTAGGTGGATAATTTAGAAAGTTTTAAAGTGTTACTGTTTTTTGAAGTGTTATTTAACAAAGTGCGTGTTTCTGTTTTCCCAGAAAGTTTTTTTAGCGCTCATTTTAAATTTTTTTGCTTTTCAATTTCAATGAAAAAGGGCTGAAAGCAGGGAAGGAAGGTGGTAAATGAGGTTTTTTTTCTATCTCGCTATTGCCAAGAACTAGTTAAAACTATTTAAGCAATATGTAAATTAACTAAACATGGCGATTGGCGTGTCTGGGGTTTTAAAGAAGTGATCGTAAAAATATATATATATACAAAAAATCAGTAATATCAGTGAATAGTTAGCGATGACTCGTCATATTCAGTCGGTACATGTAGCGATTAGCTTTTGGCGGAGCAGATCTAAAACTAGTCTTTAGCTTACCTATTTGTCTTTTACAAAATTTTTTTTTGATCATCAGCTTTTTTTGTATGTAATAACTAGCATTGTTTTTTTAAATTTTTCTTTTTTATTCTCGAACTTTTTATAGTTTGAAGTATTTCCGGTCAGTTATTGTTGCTCGCCTGAATTCTATATTTAGGGACCTAAATGTTAGCCTTTGTTTTTTATGCGAGGACTTCCCTTAAGTCAATAAATGAGCAAATGAGTAACTTAGAGGTGATTATTTTGGTTGAATAAGAAAATGATCTTTGGAATGGAGTTTTATGTGAACTTTGGGGTTGGTTGTTAGATTAATTTTTCAGCAGAAAACATGATTTCGAAATTTCAGTAAGTTAGTGTGTTTGTAGCAACCAGTGTCTAAACCGAAAAAGAAGGGAAGAGGCATGCAGGATGAGTTCTTAGCCGAGGCACAGGAGCTGTTCGGCGCTGACTTCGATATAGCCGACTTGAATAAGGTGAATACAATGGGGTTATACGACGACGAAGATGAAGACGACGAGGATTACGATGAAGATGAAATGGATGAAGATGATGCCGATTTCGTTGAAGGTACAGTAGATCCGAATAGTTATACAGATATAGAAAGTCTTAAAATTTAATTCGATTGTAAATGTTATTTTTAGCTCCTAGTTTTAGTCGCTTTTCTTAAATTGGGTTAGCTTAATAGAACATGTCGCAATCGTTAAAGATTCTTGAAATTCAAAGAGCTGCACGGGCAATAAATTTTCTTATAAACTGTTTCGGAAATAGTTTATATCATAGTTTTTCATAATTTCATAGTCTTATCATAGATTTTTTCATAGTTTTTTTATACCCTATATCGACTTTTTATTAAAAGGAAGGTAAACTCCGCTATCGAACAGCAAAAGTGTTAAGGTCATGAAAAACGTGATTAACTTCTATTTTATAAAATGGAATTTATTTATCAGATTTTCCAGCGAAACAAAAAATTTACTTTTGATCAAGTTTTCGCAAAATGGGTTATTTTTTTAAATCAAAAATGCACCAATCATAAATTGCTCTTGAACTTCAAAGAGCTTTAACAGTATTAATTGTGTTTAAAGTTGAAGTGTTTTCTAAAAAGTAGTCAGTATTTTTGCTGTTTACTTCGGTTCATTGACTCTCTTCCGACTGTCTCTTGGCTATGTTTACACTATCAAGAGTAGTGCCATATCACGAAGCTCCCTTTTTCCAACCTATCTAGCAACCTATGAGGTGACTTTTTTTGCTAACATAGATCAGTCTCTAACGATTCAAGCGACCATGGTGCAGATTCGATGATGTGGTGCTCTTTATCTCCTGGTCGGGGGATCGACTTCGGTTCAAAACAAAAGTTTTAATATGTTTTGCATGACAAGGCACATCTGTAAAGAGCGTCTTTTTAACCCCCGGTCGTACTCAGTGCATGAACAACCATAGGGGAAGGGATGTCATCCATTTCGCCGTAGCTGGTCCCACCTTGAGGAGGTGGATGACACTGGGGACCCCTCCAAGCGTGACCGAAGCGGTATTCGAACACACGACCCTCCGCATGCCTAACCCACACGGATACGGCTGCTATGTATAGAGCATCTGCTTTATCGATGCCCGTTGTTTGCTAATTGAAGAGCGATCATAGCGAAGACATGAGACTCTGATTCTCCAGTCAATTCCGTTTTTTTCCTATTTTCATTTTCCTCTTTTTTTTAGCCTTAAGAGCTATGTTTCGCTGTTTTGTCGCTTGTGTTTGCGAATTACAGCTTTGCTTCTCTTTCGAATTCTGTTTCAAAGAATTTTTTCTGGGTCTAACCGCGTGAATTTTTAGGCACAAAGGCGCGTTGTCACACTGATCGTTTTAAATTTCTTGAAGGTTTCTCGTACCATGAACGACTTGTTTCAGTCCGTTTGTTCGAGAAAAAATTCACTCCGATGCAAAACGTTGTGCAGATAGTACTTTTGTGCGGAGGGTAGCTTTGATCATGCTGTGTAAATTTTTTTGTTCTAATTCAATGTAAATGTCGAAGAGCATCCTTTTTAACGAGCTTTGTAGCGAATGGAAACCCGAGTTTTCGCTTACTTTGGTCCACTAGTGGATTCTATAGTTCAGGATTCTCAGCGGAAAAAAAATCTTATTTTGATCCATTTATTCAAGTGGGTTAGTTAAAAAAAAAGACTTTCAAGTTGTTCACGTTCAATTTTTTTTATTGTTTGCCATTTTAAGTTCAATTTGCTTTGCTAAAAAGTTGGCCAATTCTGTTCTCAATTAATAAAAGTTCAAATGTCGTGGAAAACCTGAATGGCTTCTAGTTTTACATGACTTTGAAAACTTATCGACTTAGCGGGAAAAAATTATCCATTGATATAATTCTGAAATGGGGTAGCCAATGAACGTGTATTGCATTGAAGACATTTATTGATGTCGAGTCGAAAAATGAGTTAATTTCATAAACAAAATCAATCATGAATTCTTTTTGAAATAAAAGAGATTTCATGCCATATTTTTTTTTAATTCGGATTTTTTTTTGTGTTTTCTTGCGTTGCTAGAGTCTACTTCAACTGCCTGTTTGCTGTGTTTTCAATTCTGATTGAAGCTTTTGAAAATCGATTTTGAATACAAAAAAATGAAACTGGCTTCTTCGGGTGGTTGAAGTTTTGAAGTGTCTTATATTTCAATTCTTTCAACTGATTCCTGAGCTCATTTAAATTTTACCAGCGATCTGTTGGGTGATCAAAATGTGGGTGTTTTTTGGCTGATCAAAATCTGGGTGATCATAAATTCTTTGGATATTTCATCTGATAATTTTTTTCTGCTATCATCGCATAACTATTTTCAGCTACAGGTAAGGCGATAGAAATATTTTGTCATTTCATAAGCCTCATTTCACAAATTGAAAAGCAGCTGGCTAGAAATCAGGCAAAACTGAAATGTCATCGCCAAAATTCTTACTTTGATTCATTTTGATGCGAATGGCAACAAGATTGGAACAAGGTTTTTTTGTATTCCACTCGATTTAAAAGTTGTGATTCGTGACAAATCATTGCAATTTGGCTGAAGAAACAGCAAAGGTTGTCTGAAATAAAGTTTTCGCTTTTCCTTGCTGAGTTGATGTAAACATGATCTGCTCGCAACGTTTAGACGGCCGACCGTATTCCGCGTATTATTTGAAAATGAAAATTATGACTGATAGTTGATGACTTGTTTCTTTTCACAGATGAGGAGGGCAATACCATGAGCGCAAAATTGCTGAAGAAGAAAGCCGAAAAAAGCAAAAAAGTGATTACTAAAAACATTGTCAAGTTCGACCCTACCGACCTGGAAAAAGCACACTACCTGCCAGAGGACGAGAAGATAAAAGCCCTGGACATTCCGGAGAGGTTCCAGCTGCGGAAAACGCCAGTGGAGCCGTTCAAAAACGACGAGGAGGCAAATGAAGAGGCTAACTGGATCTGGTCACAGGTGTTTCAGAATAAAGGTAATCACCACATTACACGATCACCCGTCGTCAGTTTCGAACGTCTAAATTTGAACATGGAAATGCACAGAAATTTAAAATATGGAAAGCTGAAAAGAAAAAAATTAGGTTTTAACTTGTCGGGGGCTCTTGAATCTTTGTGACTCCTTGGTAGAAATCATTTTTAGATAATGCAAAGAAATACCGAATGAAACCGTATCAGGTAAACCAACTAATAATAGTTTTTGGCATATTGTATTCATATATATATATTTTTAAATTCATGATCAAGGACATGTTTTGAATCAAAGAGCTGTTTGTTTACAGACTGTTTCATCTCTAATCAGTACATCCGGTACCCTTCATTCAACGGAACACAACTGGAGCCTCTGAATTTGGAAGGCGACGACTCTAGACCCGGAGAGTTTTATACAGTTATGTTTGACGAAAAAGGACGAGATAGCATCCAGAAAATCAGAGATGTTCTGAAGCTTCTGCGAGACCAAATGCACGAAGTTCCTTTCATTCATACGTACAGACGAGAGTTCTGCGAGCCGGAACTAAACGAAATGTTTGACCTGTGGACTATTTGGCAAAATGATGAAAAGTGGGTGCAACTTCAGAAACGAAAAGAACAATTGACTCAGTTGCTCATGCAAATGAGGAATTATCTCGCTAACTTGACGAGGAATTCGGAGGATTACTCGAGAATAGCGGAGATCAGACCTCTGGAAGAGTTCGACATAAGTCAATTGAGAAATGCAGAGACTATGCAGCAGGTTGAAGATGTATACCAGCATTTCATGTTACATTATGGACATTACATACCACGTGAGTTTAATGTTTTTTTTTAATATAAAAACAGAGATATCCTATTTTTTTTCGATAAATAATGTAAAGAATGGCATGTCATAGAGTCTTAATGCATAAACTGCTGGCATAAGTTCGAATCCCAGTTAATGAAAATTTTCTTTCAATATACTCCAAAGCTTGTGTGAAAGCGAAAGACTTAAACAAAAGCTGGTGTTTTAGCCATGATCGATGCCGAGAAAGCAGAAAAGGCGAGAGAAAACGGAGAATCAGTGAAACCAGAACGGCAACGCAAACGACCAATAAAACAACAAATGTACATGATTTGCATCAAACACAAAATCTACAATTTCGCAAATCTTTTTGGACTCACTCCGGAAAATTTTGGAGTGAATGTTTGCGACCAGTATCAGAAACACGAACCGACAACTAGTTCACAATACCCTTCAGATATTGCCTTGGAATTGGTTTGCGATAATTTTCCTACGAAAGAAACCGTTATTAATGCGGCTATTTTTATGGTTGCACAGCAACTTGCCCACGAGCCTTCAATTCGCAAATCGGTCCGAAAAAGCTATGAAGATAAAGTAGGCGTGAATGTGCGACCAACAAAAAAGGGTCTGCAAGAAATCGATGAAAATCACGCTTTATATTCTATGAAATACCTGAAAGGAAAGCCTTTGCAATCTTTTCGCGATGCCGATTATTTGAAACTAGCTGAAGCTGAGAATCAAAAGTTGATCGAAATTAAATTTGAAATCCAAGAAAACGTCAAAGCGATGACTGCGGCGACTATGTTTGGCCTGGAAGGTTATGTTGAGGACTTGGCTCTTCTGTACTATCAAGACGGCTACTCAGAAGTCGTGAAGGCTTGGAACGATTTAAGAAGAAAGGCCGTCCGAATGGCGCTTGTTGAAATTTTATTTCCAATTTTGGAGAAGGAAGTTAGAGAAAAGTTAACAAGGGAAGCTGAGGAGTTCGTTGTTCGAGAGTCGGTCAATTACTTGCACTCTTTAATTAGTGTCGAACCATGGAATCCGAGGAACTGTGACAAAACAGACATGGATGACGAAGAAGATGATTACGAACCGGGATGTCGTGTTGTCTCAATTGCTCACGGAGACGACTATGACGAAGTCAGTTTTGCTGTTTACCTAGACAAAAATGGAGTTTGCAAAGATTTTGTGAGACTCCCTAACTTGACTCGCCATGGACGCAAAAAGGAAGATAAAGAGCTTCTGAATATCGCCTTTGCTTCATTGAGTGACTTTATTCAGAGAGTAAGGCCACATGTTACAGTAGTGTGTACGGGATCTTACATTGCAAAAACTCTGGGTATTAATGTAGAAAATTTGTTGATAAGTTTGGAGAAGGAAATTCAATTTCCAATCGTGGCCTTAGAATTGGTCAATGACGATTTGGCGTCGGTGTATGAGAAATCGGCAAAGGCCGTAAAAGAGTTCCCAGATTATCCTCCTATGTTACGCAGAGCGATATCAGCTGGAAGGCGATTGCAGGACCCGCTAGCCGAATTTTGTCAGATGGCAGAAGACAATAAAGACCTGCTGAGTTTCAAGTTCAACGCATTGCAAGGCTTGGTTCCTCAGGAGGACCTCATTGAAGCCTTGACTACAGAGCTAGTGTCCATGGTGAACAAAGTGGGAGTTGATGTGAACAGAGCGCTGGACTACCCTCATCATTCGTACTCTTTAAATTACGTATGCGGTCTCGGACCAAGAAAAGCTTCTGCCTTGTTACAGTTCCTCTCTCGCAGAAATAAAAAGCTAGTTAACAGAACACAATTGGTGACTGAGCTTAAAATGGGTCCCAAATTGTTTGTTAACTGTGCTGGCTTCATCAAAATTGACGTCAGATCTTTCGATCCGGAAAATACGGACGATGAAACCTGGTTAGACCCTCTGGACTCGACTCGGATTCACCCAGAAACTTATGAATGGGCAAGAAAAATGGCGGTGGACGCTTTGGAATATGATGACGTTGATGCGGACGAACAAGGTCAACAGAGAACTGCAAGGGCTGTCGAGGAAATCATGGAGGCTCCTGATAAGTTAAAAGACCTGGACTTGGACGCTTTTGCAGACGAACTTAATCGCCAACAGTTCGGACAGAAGAATACAACACTTTACGATATCAGCTTGGAGCTGTCTAATCCTTTCAAGGACAGAATTAGGCACCTTCAGGCTCAACTTCCTCCCCTGGTTAGGTTCGAAATGTTGACTAAAGAAACCCCTGAGTCGCTATTTTTGGGAAAGATGTTGGAAGTAACGGTTGTAGCACTCGTGTCGAGGTTCCCAAATGACGAGTCACATCAGAAAATGGGAAGTTTGGAAAGATCAGAAAACGGACGCTGGAAGTGTCCCTTTTGTAATATGGATCACTTCTTGGAGATCCAAGATGTTTGGAATCACTTCGATTCCAAGAAATGTGACGGAAAAGTAATTGGAGTCCGTGTCAAGTTGGAAAACGGGATGTTGGGTTTTATTCTCACGAAATATCTATCCGATAACCCGGTGGAACATCCTTTCGAGAAAGTAAGTCTTGGTCAAACTATTAAAGCACGTATCAGAGAGCTTGAGTGCTCGACTTTCAGATGCGACTTAACATGTAGAACAAGTGATTTGGTGGATGAGTTGAACGAGTATGCCCCGAAAAAGGATGAATGTTACGACAAAGCGACAGAAGAAAGAGAGAAGTTAGAAGTAAAAGCGAAGGCGGAAAAGGAACAGAAGAAAAAGCAGTATTTGAAGAGAGTGATAGTGCATCCTAATTTTGAGAACGTGACATTTGAGAAGTGTCTGGAGAGATTGAAGTACCAGGACCAAGGCGACTGCCTTTTCAGGCCTTCAAGTAAAGGTAAGTTTCCTGAACGATCAATTAAATATTAAGAGTCGATTAATGTAGTTCAAACTCTTATATAGGTCGTGATGATTTTTTTTCCCGGAAAAGCCTTAGTTTTTTCAGGCTCAAATTTACTTTTTTGCTGTTTGACTTTTGATTTCTGTTCATTTTATTTCTGTTCATTTCATTTGTTAAAAGTGTGCGCGTCAATCTCCACAATTCGAAAAGAAACGGTTTTTAATCACTTGAATTAACGAGCATTTTATCAGGAAAATAACTCTGGAAATTTCGTAATATAACGATATTTTTAACAAACTTTTTTATTGCTAACATCGGCCACAAAACACAGCATAACTCAAAGCAAGCTGCAAAAATGGCCAGTATTTTTCACGGAGCGACGGATCCTTATCTAGCCTCTTTTCCAAAGACTTTAATTGAGCTAAGGAGGAAAAATAGTTATTCGGGAAAGTACTTTATCGTTCCAAAGCATTGGTACAATGTACCTCTCACCATCGTGAAAGGTGTCATTCTTCAAAACGGACAAAGCGCGTTTGTCGGCGGCGGAACGGGCATCTACTTGCTTGAAGGCTCCATATGACTCCAACTCATACCAAGTTTTAATTTGGTCCGCAAGAGACATGTCTTCGACAACACACTTAAAGCAAGACGAGTTCGACTTAAAGGACGGCGGTAACGAACCACTTAAAACCCAACCTATCGGAAGGTGTACGGCGCACGGTGAAATAGAGTCCTCCGCCAGAAGGTACTCAACGGGTCTTATGGCATGGTAGAAATCCTGTCCAATAATTATTTCGACTTCCTCATACTTATAATGTATAGGTTTTATCGGAGCCAACTGCGGGTATTTTTCCTGTAATTCAGGAATACTTATGCTATCCGATCCAATGCGAATATGATCCTTAACATAAGCTCGAAAAGAAAACGAAAAATCACTATTATTCGTTTCGGCGGAAACTTGAAAACTTACTTGATGAGTTTTCATCAAGCTCGTGGAATTGAATCCATTTATGGTGAGATTAACAAGAGTGCCAACCAAATGGAGACGTTTTATGAGATCGGCGGACACTCATCAGTGCGTGGAAGCACTATCGCATAGAGCTAGGGCATTAGTAATCGTCGCATCCGAAGAGACGGCGAGTGATGCAACTGGCAGGAGGCCTTTAGTTGACTCCTGGCTATGAATATCGCCGACGGCAGCGTTAGTCGATACATGTTTAGTGTTTTCGTTACCTGACGCCGGGGAACTTTACTTCGCTCCATGTAAGAGCACGTTGTGCGTGTTTTCACAATCTGACTTAAGGCACTTTCTGGCCTTGCTACAATTACGAAAACTGTGGTTGCTCTGTAAACACTTAAAGCAAAGTTGTTGTTCGGCTACATGTTTCGCTCGCTGCGTAGCGTTTTTCTCTTTGAATACGGCGCAATTCCAAAGAGCGTGTTGACCTTTACATACAGCACATGGAGGGAATTTTGGTTTTTCCTTAGTCTTATCACTCACCGTTGCATTACTAGCAAACACTTTCGTACCTACCTTTTGCTTCACTGGTTCTTCAGCCTTAACCTTAGAATTAATTGCTTTTAGCCTCTCATGACCCTCCGCCTTTTCTTTAAGCCATTCGTTGAAATCTAGCAGAGTTGGTCGATGCCACTGGCGTCTTACGGTTTGCATTGACCATGCTTCCTTAAGGTTTGGGGGAAGCTTACTCACAGCCTGATTCAGTAAATTAACACTTTTCAGGTCATCGTTAAAAGATAGAGACTTGAATACGGCAACAAGTCCAGAAATTGTAGAAGAAAAGCCAATTACATTTTCCGAGTTATGCATTTTCAGCGGCGGAAAATTACTCAATTTATCTAGATGAGACCCTACTACAGCATGCGGCTGCCCGAACTTTCTTTGAAGAGTTGCTAATGCGTCTTTATATAGTACTCCGCTATAGCTATACTCAGCGATTGCGGATTTTGCTTTACCCACTACGAGCGTTTTCAGATAGGTAAGCTTTTCATCGTCACTGAGTATGGCTGAATCGACCATCGATATGAACTGCCCAAACCACTCATGCCAATTAAATGGGTTGCCATTGAACTGGGTCAGCTTCCACTCAGGGAGATGATCTTTTCGGCTGTGCAAGAGTATATTAACCAACTCTCGGGTCGAAAGTGGACGCTCGACGTCTGCACCAGGTGAATCACCGGAAGTTGGCTCTGTGTAACTCGAATAGTTACCGTGACAATCAGGAACGAACGGTTGATTAGCATGTGAAGAAATTTCAGGCTGTGCAAAAAACACAATCTCTCCACTTGTTTAAGGAACAAAATTATTCGTAGGAACAATCGGAGTTACTGCGGAAAAAACAGTTGTCGAAGGAACGTAGTGCTGTTGAGTTGACATTAAAGGGGCAGCAACAGCTGGTCTCCACAAATTACTATAAGGATTATAGTGGTCACTTGAAAAGTTATAACTACTAACGGGAACACCCGTATGTTGTTGTGATGGGATTACAGGTGCTTGGTGGCCAGCTACTACTGATCCTGCAGTTTGATGACCTAAAGAAACCTGATTAGTTGTTGTTGATGCAGGAACGAACGGTGCTACACCAGAAGGAACTTCTGCAGATGTTGTCGGAGCAAAATAATTTTCAGAATTTACCGGGACTACTGACCCTGTGTTTGGATTGCCTAGCACCGGATGATTGGAGAAAAAAGTTTGCGGAGGCAAATTATTAGAAACAGGTTGAATAACCTGCTGTAACCCTACTGGATTGTTAACGGAAATCTGCGATTGAACCAAATTCGACAAATTTTGTTGTTGTCGGTGAATGTGGTTACTGAAATACAATCCCGGATCACTAGAAGCTGCCTGGCCATTATTCACTCCTGTAAAACTTGATGAGACCAAGTAATTTGTTGATGCAGGATAAGTTGCCTCAGGAGCTGTTGAACGAACGTGCTGCTCTTGATTGGGAACTAAAACAGCGTCAGGCTGATTGTGGTCGACAGATTCGACCCAGTGACGCGTACGATCCTTTTCGTCTATTGTTAGTTGTGGAGAGATTCGAGTTAAACCACTTTCCTCAGCATTCTCGCTGATTTCCGACAACTCATCTTCTAACTCAAGCCCTTTCAACTCAATTTCTGCCAGTTTTTTCCTGTGTTCTTCAGCTAAATCTTCCAACTCTAAACTGCTTTGTTGTTCTAAAAAATATTGTTTCATCTTGTTTTGCTGCTCTTTCAGTCTTTGCCTGCCTCTCAAGTTCCTCTTGTTGTTTCTTTAAAATCATTAAATCGCGCTTTTTCTCAAAGTGTTTTTGACGGAGCGGAAGTATAACTAGATTTCTGAAAACCCGATTGCTGATGTCGGCTGCTTCGATGAGACAACTTAGAGCGGGTATCTGTTTTATGCGACTAGGGTTTTTCACTTTTTTCAGAATGATGAGAAACTTTTGAGCTGCTATCTATTTTGTCCGGCTCTGTTACTGCCTCAAAACTTGTTTTATATGTGATAGCTTCCTGCAGAACTTTATCGTTGCTTTGAGTCAACTTATGCTGCCACATATCCTGTGCCGGTATCAATTCGTCGGGATTGGCACTTTTTGCAGCCATATTAATCAACTCATTATTTATCTCGACCGCTTGTTCTATATAGTTTCTACATTTTTCAATATAAGTATCAATTTTTGAGCAACGACTCTGATTCTATATGTATTCTAAAATTATTTCATGGCATTTATAAAGTTCGTTTTCGAGGTTGCTACGTTTCTCAAACAACTTCTTAATTTTCTTTTGAAACTGAACTTCCATGCTTAATAATTTCAGAAATAAACGACTCTCAGAAAATACTTTATTTTCACTCAAGTAAATCCACAAAATACTTTTACCTGGCGTTAAAGTTAAAGCTTAAACCGGGCTTTGTGAAACAAGTCTCTTTCACGCGCTTTTGAGATGGCGCGGATAGTTTACGGAGCGCGTGCTCTAGAGAACTAGCTCCTAGAATGAATACTATATACTTAAGGGACCTATGCGACGGCTACGTTACGCTTAAGTACCAGCGGGGTGGGAAATTAAGTAGGTAGGTTGAACTCCAACAACGCACATGGAGTAAACCTGAGGATGAAAGAATTCAACTTAACTCACTTAATATCACCGGACCTGACCACTTAACTGGCTTTCGGAAGCGAACTGGCTTTCAGTTTCACCAATGGTGGGTGGGGGATCAGGAAAATTGGTTAAATTCCAACAACACGCGGAAAAAACCTGAGGGTGAAAAAACTCAACTTACTTTGCCTGATATTTTGCTACCAGACCACTTACCATAAGGTTGGTGTCATGTTACAGCACAGTTTCGCAGAATTTTGGGGACGTTTTGAGGATTTTTTTGCAATTTTTTTAAACTTTTTTTCCCAAAATTTTTCGGAAAATTTTGGTCAGCAGGTTCGAGTCATAAACCAATCCAAAAAACTAGTCTAGTACATCTTATCTATGTTCCGATTTTCTGGATTTTCAATCCGTTCACAATTACCCAAAAATTTGTGGTATCGAGAAAAAATGCCAAGTAAATTGACTAAGTACCGATTGTAAGTTATTTCAGTTCAACAGAACTGCCCAAAAATTTTGAGTGTTGAGAAAAAATTACCGGTTGCTAGCTTGCGGAAAAAATTCAACCATATAAGACGTATAAAATTTTATAGCACAACTAGACTGTTTTTAAATCAGTAGAATCTTATAGTTTTGGAGATTGGGCGGTCATCGGTTGGGAACAGGCCTGAGTTGATATCTTTTTCTAAAACCCTTTCTTTAACTCTCAGGACTTTACTCATTCATTGAATTGTTGGCCTCTGCTGTGGGTCTCAAAAACCACGACGGGAAGTCGGCGCCTTGACATCACACCTCGTTTATGAAGACAACTTGTCAGGGAAGAAACCGCGTCTGGGAATACTCGTCGTCTGCGAATACACGTCACCTAAAAACCGTGGTCTGCAAATTCACGTCGTCTGAGAACAAACAGCGTCTGAAAATCCACCTCGGATAACGATACACTGGCAACAGGGGCGGGATCCCTCTGTGGTCGCCACCACTCATCTGGAAAAAATGCGCTCGGGTCTGGCGAGTATCGAGTATTTTATGGAGGCCAGCGAATAGAGAGTAAATTACGTCGCCGGTTTTGCCAGTAATATAACTTATATCACGAAGCTCTGATTAACCGAACAATTAGGGCTCAATCTCCGTAAATCAACAAATATGAAGGATCAAGAAGTTTAAATTAATGAGAGCATTTATCGGCAAAAACTCATCTTAATCTCGGTCGAGCATAAACATCGTATAACTTCAATCTTATTGGTCACCAATTCACAGCTTCAAAACAAATTGGCGCAAGCTAGCCACAAGAACCGTTCGGTAATGTCCTTGAGACAAATTGCTCTTTTTTAAAGGTCAGCCTTAATCAAGGCTGAACCAAATTAGAGCGAAAAGACGGTTAAAATAGGTTTTTTTTTTGGGGGGGGGGTCGAACCTGGTTACGGAGCATCCCATCAAGTTCGTGGCATATTTGAATGCTAGAAAGGAAATGACCTAGGCGGGATTCGAACCGGCGCCGAACCCGCCGGGACGCACCATGTATACGCTTGGCTACTTTCCCTATATGCATTTGCATTTATATGCATTTATACTCTCGCTTACATTTACATTTGTGCTGCAACAAAAAGGAAGGCAAACTCCTTTATCGAACTGCAAAATTGTAAAGGTTACGAAAAACGTGATCGACTTCTAATTAAGAAAATGGAAATTAATTTTCAAATTTCCCAGCCGCATAAAAATTTTACCTATTGAGCAAGTTCTATTGATTTGTCAATCATAAATTGTTCTAGAAGTTCGGAGAGCTTTGAGGCTATCTATTTTTTTCTTGAAAATTAGAAAGTTTTCAAAAAACAAGGCAGTGTTTTTTATTTTTGTTTACTTGCGTTCATTGACTCTATTCCAACTTTCTCTTGGCTATGTTTTAATAATGCTGAAGCTTGATTTTCATCAAAACGATCTCTGTCGTGTGCAGAAAGATTCGTCAGTGCGCTGAATTGGTGTGACTATTGAACTTCGATTAATGAACGCGTAAGCTCGTTTGAATACACCAAAAGGGTATGAAAATTCCTCGATTGAAGATAATGATTTTGACGTAGAGACCTGTTACAAAAACCAAATGCGGCAAAATTTTGCGTTTCTGCGGTAGCTGTCCGTTTAAAACTCACACTGTGTGGTGGCAAATTCATATTATAGAGTCATTATATACAGTTTCTTGTCTAGGTCCTGGACACTTGACGTGCACTTGGAAAGTGGAGGAAGATATCTATCAGCACATTTCAATCGAGGAGCAGCAGCAGGAAAACAGTTTCTCCCTCGGCAAGACCCTCGTCATTAATGGACAGGAGTTTGAGGACTTGGATGAAGTAATTGCAACCTACATAAAACCAATGGCACTGTTGGTGCGAGAAATATCAACCTACAAGTACTACTTCAAACCAACAAATGATAGAACTATTATAGAGCGAGATCTTTTGCAGCAGAAAATGGCAAATCCCTCCAAAATTCCGTATTTCCTGACTGCATGTATCAAGAGGCCTGGATGCTTTTATATTGTTTACTTGCCTCGACAGTCGGTAATTTGGGAGTACATCTCGATTAACCCTAACGGCTTTAAATATCGCAATAAAGTGTTTGACAATTTGAACAAGCTTTTGGGCTGGTTCAAAGTCCATTTTCGAGATCCAAGACCTGACGCCAGACCGCCCCAGCAGTTGCAATCTTCAATAGCAGCAGCTGATTATGGGCTGGGTCTGAATCAAACAAGTCGTGTGCCAGGTAGTTCGAGGCCCCACGCTGACTATGGTCGTCAAATGACGCCAAGATACAATACACAGTATGATTTGGTGAGTAATATGGATACATTTTTTTAAAACTGAGTTTTTTCCATACTTTCGTGGTCATCTTCATGTCCAAACTTTAGCCAACTAGCATGCAAAGTTTGAGCAGGCATGCATTTTAAATGCATGTTCTATTTACACTTGCAGAGTGTCATGTTTACCTCTATTTTGTATTTCACTTTGTTTTTGCCTTTTTTGAAGTATATATTTTTTGCCGTTTATTCGCTTGTGTTTGCGAATTGTAGCTTAGCCCTGTCAAAATTTGTTTTGTTTTCAAAAGAGTAATGAGCGTAGTGAGTACCTTTAGATAAGTCTTGGTAATTTTTTGTGTTTTTTTTTTCAGGAAAAAATTTTGTTCACGCTCAATTTTGATGTTTCGCGGTTTGACTTTTAATTTTTTTTAAAGTTAGGAAAGCAAACCTCAGTATCGAACAGCACAAATGTAAAGTTCATGGAAAACGTGAATGACTTCTAATTTCGAAAATTTGAGTTTAATTACCAGGCTACTCAGCCAAGTAAAAGTTTTAACTATTGATCCAGTTTTCTCAAATTGGGTTAATTTAATCAATAAAGTGTCAAACCTAAATTTTTCGCGAAATTCATTGAGCTTTCAGGCCATCTATTTTGTTTCTCTAAAAATCCAGTCCAAATTTTTTATCTGCTTACTTAACTTTCTTCATTGACTTTTTCAAACGGTATGTTGGCTATGTTTCAAACAATAAGTATATATTTTTTCTGTTTCCTTTCTTGCGTTTTTGATTCAGTCCAACTGTCAGTTGGTTAGGTTTCATGCTGTTTTAAATTTACTATCTCCAGTTTCAGTATCAGTTTTTGTTTTTATATATTTTTTCCTCTTAACTCGGCAAAAAACTGTTTCGTCTTAGCATATCGGCCAAGCGCTCTAATTTTGAGCCGTTTGATGAGCTAGAAAGTTTTTTTTTCCTAATTAATTCGAGAGGGACTTCTGAACTTTTTTGAGCTTACGAGTTTGTTTCATGAAAACATTTTTGTCGGCTCGAAGTGTCTGCTCCAGAATTGTCGGCGTTGTTACTGCTTTTTACGCGAGCGTAGCGTAGCGTGATAGTACGATGTATCTTTTTTCGTTTAATGTGTTTGCCTTTAGTTTACTACAATTTTCTCATGCAAAACCTGTGCATTATAAATCTCCTGAATGCTTGTCGATTTCTCGCTCTTGATTGCGAATTTGAGGCTTCGTCTCTCTGTGTCAAGTTTTGTTTGGATGCCAATTTGCCATTAAGTTGTCTTACTTGACATGTTTTTCTTGAGAGGAACTTTATTCATGACAGAATCAAGACAAAGATCTGAATTTTTTGGTAGATTAGTTTCGACATTTTTCTCATAACAATTTCAGATTTTTTTGCGGCTTGTGTCTCAATTTCTCTCGGTTAATTTGTCGTGCTATATTTGTGTTGCGTCGCAAGTGGTGCGAGGCATGGCTTCGCCTCTTTGTTGCTTTTGCATTATATTGGTCCATGTATTGATGAGTTTGTCCTTATGTTCTCAAGATAGCCTTAATGTTTATTTAGCGCCTTAGAATAGTATTTAGAATCTGATCGTGCAGAATATTATTAGGCAATTCGATTTTTCAGGGATCCAATCAGAGATCTTCCTCAATTTCGCCCCCTCTCGGCAGCCAATCACACCACAGCAGACCTAACTACATGTCAGGAGCCGGGGGGTCGAACACTCCTTCCCACTATGGGTCTCACACTCCGAGTAGATCACACCACAATCACCAAGTCCCCCAATCTACATACTCATAGACAGTAGACTGTTGATTAGATAGAAAAGGAACTACAGATGACAAATTAGTTAAACGTTTCATACTAGCAGAAGAAACATGCTGATAATTTTCAAATAATAGCTCTGATCTGGTAAAATTCTGAGTAATAAATCTGACACTGATGGTTTTTTGGAATTGTATCGTTTTTTAATTGACAAATATTAAAAATATTAACTAAGTTAAAGCTCAAAGGAAAGTTTTGCAGCTTCAAAAAAATTATTGTTCCGCCCACTTCACAAAAAAAGGAACGAAGTGCAGTGCGTATTCAAATTATCCGGTAAATTTCTTAAACTCTGTTGGGCTACGTAAGAGTTTGATATAAATATGTCCATGATTGACTCGGTAGTTTTGGTGTAATATTTGATTTACTAAAAAACCAAAAATGATCATTGCACCATAATGAGTGCACCAGATTAATTCTGCTAAAATGCTGAGAAAATTTTTTCTTCATCCTTTTTAACCTTAAGTCAACCCAATTTGAGAAAACCGCGTTTTAATTTTCAATTTTAAAGCGTTTTGTCCGGATAATTCAAATCAGCACTGTTTTTTTTCGTCCCATTTTGACTACCTCGAAGAAAGCTCATATTAAAGCCATATGAGCTGATTAAAAATCCGGTTAAAAACTTCAAATTTCTCTTACTGTTGAGAAAAACTGGTCTGAAGTTTTCCATTTTTCAAACTGGGTGGCACGAAATTTTCGAATGATACACAATGAGAAAATGAACTTTCATTTTAATTATTCTACAACATGAAAGTTATTTTAGCTATTATTACCACTCATTCTTGCAGTTTTTCACTTATTTCAATTTTCTTTTCCAAAAAAAAGTAACACGTAATTTAAACAAAAAAGAACAAAAAATTGGATTGTTTATTTTCAAACTTTCTTTATTTTGAATTTGTTTTTAAATCAGTGAGATCAGAATATTCTGTGCTCGCTTACAGCAACCGCTTGTCCTTATTCAAATTTGTTGATGTTTATTTGGTTACCGAAAACGATATAAACAATGTGTTGTACTGATAAAACTTACAATGATTAAGTACCTACTGAATATATTTATGAATCTGTAAAGGTGTTTTGTGCCGAAATAGTAAACTCATTCAAGGTTTCGAGTGATAAATTTACTGCTTTTAATTCTTCTTCGTCTTTCAAGTGAAAGTGCAAATACAAATTTAAGGCAGAGGAAAACTTGTAGCTGTAGTTTTATGAATTAAGAGTAGTATTCGCTGGATTTTATTGGAGCTTCGTGGCATCTTATAATGATACAAACGAAACAAAAATACTGACAAAGGAGTAAAGCTTTGAAAAATTATTTAACGAAAAATAAAATTGATGACATTTTAGGCACCTTAAATGTTTTTTGCTTTCGGCGATTCGAGTCATAAATGATTTAAGTTATTTTCAGAAAAATCTCATAAATGATTTACATTGCTTTTCAGAAACGTTTATATATGACCTAATTCAATTTTGAAATCCAAACTATTCGATCCGGCTCAGTACACAATGGGAGCGTGTTGTCCGAAACTGAACAAAAGCCAGTCGTATCTGAGCATGGCCGACTCAGACGCGCCCCTGTTGCCGGGGGGAGGCACCCCCAATGGAACCCTGGGAGGGGGCCGGTCGGTGCCAAATGGCACTCTGGACTCGAGTAAAGATGCTGATGAAAGAGCAGTGTACACGAAGATTATAGATGATACACAGACACAGGTAAGTCTGAAGGTCACTTTTGCCAGAAAATAACAGGAAAAGGTAATTTTGTTTGAGCTTTCTGAAATCTGAAATGCCATATATTTGATATGTCAGAATGGCATCTGGTAGATCGAGGGTAATATAACATTCAGAGGCGGATTTAGGATGGGGCAGGAATTTGACCTCATTAACGACAAGAATTTTCTGCTGACTGACCAAATTATTTGTATTCTAGTTTCGAGGCGAAGCGACAGCTAATTTGAAGGGTAGCGCACGTCATGAGGGGATGTGCGTTTTTTTGGTCGAAACAACATTCCAAAAATGCCCAAAAAAGTTCTTTTGCCTGTTTTTTTTTCTTCAAAAAGTTGTTTGACTAGCAAAATTTTTGATCAACCGTACAATCCCCCCCCCCCCCCCCCCCTCTTAGTGACCTACCGTAGAATGTACTCCCCAAGCATGCATTAAATCTATTAAATCTGAAAATTGATTATGTATAAAATATGCATTTCATGCAATCGAGCAAATAAAATTGATTCAAATTTTTTTGCATGCGGGATCGCATTTGTATACTGTTAATTGCTTAGATTAATGTTTTAATCCAATTTTTTTTTCAGTAAAACGGTTAATTTTGAATAATTCTAGGCTATTCTCAAAGTTAGTTCATGGAAAATCTATATTTTCTCCCCCTAAATCTATTTGGCGGGGGTGGGGAGGGAATTGTACGGTTGATCAGAAAATTTTGACTAAATAGGGTCATTATATTGTTTTTTTTGGGAGTGCTCGGAAAATCAATTTAGCCGTTTGAAATGATTTTATGATGTTAATCTGTGTCCCTGATAAAATGTACTATTTTAAACCTACTTATAGCCATAAGAATTAAAAGAAGACTGCAATCCGTTTCAAATTCTCGAGTAGCTATATCAACTTGTTTTAAAAATGGAATTGAGTATCGAGTCACAGTTATCCCAGCTCCAATCATCTTTCACATTTAAAACGATTCGCTGTTTCAGATCATTGACGTGATGGCAGTTGACCAGAGGTCTGGAAATGTGTCCGAGCTAGTGGACAGAGGCACTGCTTACCAGTCCAAACTGCAGGCTATGGCCCACGAGCACAACAAGTCTCACTCCCCCCACAGATACTCTCCGGATGGGGGGTCAAGTGGAAGTAGTGGAGGGGCAGGCAGCTTACCCAAAATGGCTCTATCGTCAGATGCTAACTTCCAGATGTTGCCACATGTCAATCCACAGGAAGTGCTGTGAGTTGGTTCAAAATGTTTCGCGGTTATTTAGTGTATTACTTATTTAGGTTTTATTACTTATTAAGGTCTGGTGTTTTTTTTGTTCGTTTTTTTTTACAGAAAAAGTCTTGAAAATTGTGCACGTTCAAGTCTGATTTTTCGCGGTTCGTCTTTTGATTTGTTCTCAAGTTCTATTCAAACTCATTTGATAAAAGCAAGGCAAAAAGCGGTCTCCAATAACAAAAGTGTAAATGGCCCAAAAAATTACTTTGTTTCGAAAGCGTAATTAATTACTGAAAGGAATTTTCTGATTTCTCAGCGAAATAGTAAAATAGACACAGTTGTCTCTAAATTGGTTAGGTTTTATGGAAAAAATTCAAATCATAACTGACCGTAGAAATTCAAAAGAGCTTTAACGTGATTTATATTTCTCTCCAAAATTTGAAAATTAAAGAATGTTCAAATTAAGTGGAAAGTTTTTTTTTCGGTTTTCTTCCACACTTTTCCAACCATCCGTTGGCTTTGTTTCAGTTTTTAACGAAAACCGTGTTTTGGCTTGATTGACAACTTTTTGTAAAGAGTATATAAACATACATCAGACTCTTATATAGTCGCGATGATTTTTTCTTTTTTTTTTCAGGAAAATAATTAAAAGTTATTCAAACTCAATTTTAGTTTTTAAGGGTTTGGCTTTGTTTTCTTTTCAAGTTCAGTTCAACTCTTTCGTTAAAAGAAAGGCAAATCGAAAAGGAAAAGTGCAAACGTCCCAGAAAACGTGATCGAGTTTTAGTTTCGGAAGTGGAATTTAATTTTCAGATTTCCCAGCAAAGTAAAAATCTATTGATCCAGTTCTTTGATATCCGATTAGTAATAAGTTAACACAGTTGACTCATTTTTCTTCCTAAGGAACCATAAAAAGTTATTTGTTTTAAACAACAGTACAAAAATTCAAAAATAAGGCTCCATATATCTCGCATTATTTTTGAAATGCATATTTTTATACATAATTTGGCTTATGCTTTCCAATTTTTTACGTGCAAAGTTAGTTTGTTATATTCTAAATGATTGCTTATGTAGCTGCTTTATTTGTGGCTATTGTTAGCAAATTGCCAAGGGCTCGAAGCGCAGATGCGAGGACAGGGTCCAAAATCTCCTGGTCGTAGTGCCTGGTCGTTATTTAGGTATTTAATAGGTGTAGACGGTTTCTAGGGTTAATGTTTTTCAATTTTTTTGTTCGTGGTTTTCGGCCTTGTTACCGTTTTTTTAAAGTTTTTTTTGTGTTCGTGGTTTTCGGCCTAGTTACTGTTTTTTCAGTTTTTTTGTGTTCGTGGTTTTTGGCCTGGTTACTGTTTTTTCAGTTTTTTTGTAATTGAATTTATATTATCTCGTACCGTTTATTATCGGCTTATATAGTTCAGACTTAGCTTTATATAGGTCGCGATGCTTTTTAAAGTTTTTTCTGGAAAGTTTGAGTTTGTCAGGCTCAATTTTACTTTTTCGTGGTTTATCTTTTGATTTCCTAGCTCAGTTCATTTCATTTGTTAAAAGGAAAGCAAATTTCAATATCGAACAGCAAAAGTGTAAAGGTAACGAAAAACTTGATCGACTTCTAATTTCGAAAATGGAATTTAATATAAATTTTAGCTATTGATCCAGTTTTTTCAAAGTGGGTAAATTTCATTAAAAAAGTGTCAATCATAAAAAGATTTAGAAGTTCAAAGAGCTTTCGGGCCTCCAATTTTTTCTTTGAAATTCGAAAAAAAAAAATGTTCATTTGCTGCGTTCATTGGCTTTCTGTTGGCTATGTTCATGGCTAGTTTTTATGGTTGAATCATTTTTCATTTTCTCTCGTTGGTTTTCAAAGACATTTTGCTTCCGTCTAAGTTACTCTAATCTGCCCAAACACAAAGATAAGACTGCATTTGGCAGTTACTCAGTTTTGCAGACCGCGATAATTTAAATGTTTACAGGATGATGAATGAAATTCTGACGCAATTCGAAGAAGCTTACATCGAGATCAAAGTAAAACACAACGAACCCTTGGTCACGCCCCTCGAAATATGAAGAAACACAGCAACTACAACTGACTGCCCTGCCATGCCCATTTTTTGAAGCAAACAGCAATGTCAAGTGACGCTTAGAAAGAAATGAATTCTATTTAAATACTTGTGTTTTAAGATCGAAAGTAGATAAACAAGAAAAGGCTTCTTTTTATGTGCCTATTCATTGCTCCTATTTTATAATGCTTATCAATGATGATAAAATGATGTAATTCTGTCTTTCTCTCTCCATATTTGAATATTTTGAAAATAATTATTACGAAATCGCTGAACCAGTTAATGACTAAATGGGCTTTCTGTCGAAAACGCTGAGGTGGTTTAATTGCACTATTTAGCACCCTCCTTTTAAGTTCGAGAAATGATCTGTTTTCTTAAACTTATCCTTGGAGTGGGTTAATATTGTGTAGGTAGAGGTTTGTTTTATTGTACCGCCACTAATTTAGATTTCTCAAGTGTGCAACTCATGAAAATTAATGCTTAGTTATCACTTACCAGCAAATTGAGTTTCTTGAGGTTCTTTTATTTCCCCGCGACCCTACTCACTTATAGGGTTGGTGACATACGGGACAATCCGTTCGGAACCGAAACAAGATTCGAACCCTCAACTCTTGTGTTAAGAGCCGCGGACTTTACCCACTCAGCCAAGGCTTCGAAACTTTAAGTGTCATTCACTGGTGGTACTGTGATGCAATATGCAGTAGAGTATAGTCGTAGTCAGTTACTCAGTTAGTTAACGTGGTGCTCACTTCTTTATACATTTTGCTCATCTTCATTTTGCCCATCGCAATGAGACTTGTATTCTAGCGATCACGTTCTCAAACACTCGTATTCAAACTAGTCTTCAAAAACTCTATTTAAGTTGAATTGATTCTGCAGCTTTGATGGTCCGCAAAAACAGATTATGCGTTCGCATAAAGTTCTAAGTAGTAATCTTAGTTAAAAGTTAATTTCAAATTAAACGTTATTGATTGAAAATAATGTCAAAATGAATTCGCAAGGGATCTTTCAAACCCTAAAAATAGAAAAACCTGAAAGTTAAGTGTGGTTTAGTTCAATTCATTGTTGAATGCTGTTGGCTATCGTTTTAGTTTTCCAGCTCCTTTTTTGCTGCATTGAATGAACAACTAAATTAAGTGCTTTCGTTCGATGAATATGAAGTTGTCTAGTTTAGTTACTCTGGAGTTGTGTAGTTATTAACCAGTAGCTTAACTAGTGCAAGTTATCTAAAGTCTATTTATCGTAATTAAATTCTATTTTCTCAGTTGTTTTCAAGTTGTCAGATGAAAATTTTTATTTAAAAACAATTTAAAAACGCTTTTTTCGTATCATTGGTTTCAGCTCAAAGTTTGTTGGCTTAGTTGCCACATCACTGATTTTTCTTGTGCTGTAAAAAACTTTCATTGTAGTTGCAAGTGCAAGTGTTTTTCATTGGTGGTCATCTCCAAATCTGTACTTTTGTCAACCAACTGACAGATGTTGAGCATTTTTACATTTAAAATGCCCGTTCTGTTCGATTTTTTTTAATTTATGCTGTATTCAGTTTTTCTTTTATGTCAATGAACGTAGTGGTGACACTTATCTAGGTTATGTTGATTTTTCTTTCAGGATTTTTCTTTTGTATAATTTGTTCGCTCCAAATATGATTGTTTGCTGTTTGAGTTTAGACTTCTTTTTTAGTTCAATTCAAATCATTTGCTGAAAGAAAGGGAAACTGCGTTGCCCAATTAACGAAATTGCAAATGTCGCGCAACAGGCGAGTTTCGGAAATATTTTTTAATTCTTAGATATCCCAATGCTATAAAATTTACTCGATCATTTACTTGCACCAAATTGGGTTGATTTCATCTCGAAACTTTCACTCTAAATTTGTACTGGAACTTTGAGGCTTTTTATTTTTGTGTTTGAAATTTGAAATTAAAAAAATTTTTACATTTCTATCCTTGTTTTCCTTGACATTTTTCCAACTTTCTGTTGGCACTTTATTCTGCTTAGTATATTGAGAAAAAAAGAGGATAACAATACGAGCATAGTCATATTCGACTTTTTTGATTTTTCAATGGCGTAAAATGAAGCTTCAAAAACTAGTGTTTCAAACCGTTTTTTTTTTTCAACTCAGAAAAGTTTTTTCGATAGTGGAATGTCGATCGATTTAGGACGATTCTGATTATTAGCTATGATACCGGATGTTGGAAAAACTAAGCACACGCGGAGATAATATTTCTCGCCACTACCAGTGGTTGGAATACATATGATTTTTCCTTTAGTGTTTCTCGTTCGTTTAAAACGTGCATCATAATATTGCTTTTTGAAGCAGGCAAATTTGTTGTTTTTAAGATTCGATGAAAATAGCTTAGGTCTTGATGATTTTTTTTTTTTAGAAAAAGTCTTTTTAAGTTACAAGGAATGCAAACTACGCTATCGAACAGCAATAGTTTAAAGGTCATGAAAAACGTGATCGGCTTCTAGTTTGGAAGATGTTTTTCAGCTTTCTACTGGATTAAAAACTTTACCTAATGATCCATTTTTCTCAAGAATTAATTTTTATTTGAAAAATAGGAGCCATGAATTGTTCTTGAAATTTGAAGATCTTTAAGGCCATATATTTTTTGCTTTGAACTTCGAAATTTGAATTTCTTTTAAAGGAACAAGTCAGCTTTTTGCGTTCAATGAATCTTTTCCAACTTTCTCTTGGCTATGTTTTGAAAATCAAAAAGATGTATCTTGATATTTTTCTGAGAAAACCCGAGTTTTGAAAAATCAGAATCATTTTTTTTTCAGTTTCCTTAAGTTCATTGACGCTTTTCTTGTTTATTGGTTATTTTTGTTTAATATCAGATGATTTCATTTGTCTTATCATATTCAATTGTACGTCAGATTTTGCTAGTACTTTGAAACAGGCTCGTAATGATATGAACTTCAATGAAAATGGAGCTAATTCTAGATGCCCTACATACTCTGCTCATTTTCAATTCGAGTTTTCTTTGCTTGATTTTTGACACTACCCCTCGACGCACCTGCATCCTCAGCATGATCTGAATACCAGCGATTAGTTTGCAGAAAAAATTGTAATAACTGTTTTGTTTCAGATTAGATGATCTAAAGTGCTGCTTTCTGTTCTGATGACAGAGCAGGTTACCTTCACAAAGACTTGAGGTCAATCAGAGAATCAAACACAATGCGCCATGAAATGGCCTCATTTTAATGTAGATTAGCTGTCAAATGACCTTCTTCGGTGTATTGTATTTGTAAACCACCAATTGCAAATGTTCTTCATTAAGTTTTATAACATCACAACTTAACTTCACAATCAAATCTTCTGTAATATGTAATTCCTTGTTTGTTGAACTATTTTATAACTGCTGAATTGTCAGTTACATCCATTATTAACGAATATTTTGACCAAATAAAGAGCGACCTAGTTTCTTGATTTCCTGAATATTCATACATCATCGTTGCTTGATCGATTATTGACTACAAGTTGTTAGTATTACCTCGGTTTCTATTTGAGTATTACTTGAAGTATGTCGTTAGTAAGATCGAACGAAGAAGAGGCTGAGCATAATGGCAATGAACAGCACCAGCTGTCAGTTTCAGTCAAGGGAAAAGTGATCACGCGTCGCAGGGCCATTTTTGCACATTTGATTTTCACCAGTATCAACTTCCTCAATTACACAGACAGGTAAGACTTCAGATGTGATAGGCGGTGTGCTAATCATTGTTACAACTAATGCAGTATCGGCTGGTTTTCGCAATACTGAACGTGAAGAAGGGGTGTGTTTAGAGTCGATGAAAGTAGTTCAAACGCCTATATTATTATTTTTTTTGAAAAATAACCAAAACAAATGCATGTAGTTCTTAAACAGGGGCTCAACAGAATTTCACGACATATTTAAATGCAAACGTTTAAAAATCTACAAAATTTAAACGTTTTTTGTAGATCTCGAAATTTTTTAAATAATACTGATCATAATTCGTGTATGATAAAAACATGTATTATGAAAATGTAAGGGATTTGGTCTTAAAATGCTCTAATTTTTCATTAAGTGTTAATGAACAGAGTGAAAACAATTTATTTGGGCCTTGTGATTTTGTTGGTTTTGTTCAGGAAAAAAATTGATCATGCTTAAACTTGGTATTTGCGCGGTTTTTTGTTTCCTTTTCAATTCAATTCAAAGTCATCTGCCAAAAGGAAGGCAAATTACGATCTCCAATTACGAAAATGCAAATGGCGCGAGAAAATTTCAAATACAATGTTTCGAAATCGGTTTCTAATTTTCCAGCGGAACAAACGGTTTACCATTTGATCCATTTTAACTAATTGGGTTACACGTATGCAAAAGGTACCAAAATAAAAAAAAATCTGAAACTTGAAAGCGCTCTAACGTGATGTATTGTTTTTGACATAGTTTTTTCATTTCCGTACTTCTAATGAACAATATGTCACTAAAAACATGTTTAAGAATTGGAAGAATTTACATTTTGTCATGAGTTTCCATTATTAATAATATGCAGTATAGAAGCCTGGTTAAAAATGGAAGACGACCCCAGCAGCGTGATGATAAAAAGATATGAACAATAACATTTTGAATATTGTCGATATATTGCTTATCTCGATTGAAGAAGCTCTTTAACTTAGTTGTCGCACTTGGGTTTCCATTTGTTTAAGCGGTAATATCTAACCGTCTGTTCAATCCTCATCAATTTAATTATCTCGGATAACCTGTGGTGATTTCAACCTGACATTCTCACGACAAACTTATTTAGCCAGAGCAACCTCAATTTCATTTGGGTTTGAATTGATTGTTCATGCTCCAACACAAGTTTTATCTTAAACAACTTAGTTATTTTGTTTCACTTTGTTACACTTTGGGTTCAGAAAAAAAAACAGTTTTATTGATTCGTCGGCATGAATGAATGAAATGTAAAGACATGAAAGCAGTAGAAAAATTTAAACGTTTTTTGTAGATCTCGAAATTTTTTAAATAATACTGATCATAATTCGTGTATGATAAAAACATGTATTATGAAAATGTATGGGATTTGGTTTTATTTACTACCTTTGCGATAAACAAGGGTATTTCAATCGGGTACTAGATTTTTTCCCGTAAATAACTTTACTCAGGGGATCGAATCTCCACTTTCAAGATCTTCACTTCTACCCAATTTGCACCGTTAACAATTAACAGCTTTAGTCGAACAGCTGGTCAAGAGCTAGTGAAGTGATAGTGGGTCTACGCCTTTTCATTAGCTAGCGTTGTGTAATAGAACGACTATTCTTTTTCTCCAATCTGAGTCGCAAATATTAGTGCTATTTTTGGTGGAACTTTTGAAAATAGCTGCATTGGCAGTTTCAAAGTATGTGCTTTGACATTAGAATAGTAATTAGTTAACACAATTGGTGCAATGAACCGAAAAAAGCTATTTGTTTTAATAGTACAATCATAAAATCTCGATTTCAGAAATTTTTTATTTCAGTATATCTCGCAATTTTTTGAAATGCATATTTTTTTAACATAATTTGGCTTGATGCTTGATGGCGAAATTATGTCTATTTGTATTTGGTGCCGTTTTTGCTGAAAATTGGCAATTTACTAGCATAAATAGTTGCTTTATTGGTGACTATTGTTTGTAATTGTTAAGGCCTCTTGGCGCAGTTGCGAGGACAAGGGACTCTAAATCTTGCGGTTGTAGGATCGAATCCGCCGCTGCAAAATTTTTAATTTTCAAGGCTGATTGTTTTTCTTTTCTCATTTCATTTTTTGTATAAAGAAGTTTCGGATATAGGTTGATTTTTTTGGCTTTATTGATTGTGTCCCTATTTTTGTCTGTTTAGCTTGCCGGGTGTTTTGTTTCTTTAACTTGTTTTGGTAGATTTTTAAAGTATTTTCCAGTGGCTGAATTTAGCTCTTTATTACCTTATTTTTAATCCAAATTTATCTGTTAGAATCATTAATTTTTTGAAATTACAAGAAATCTTTTTGAGAGATCTTTTTTTCAGATGCTTGTTTCTGATTTAGTTTTTCTAGATCTGTCAGTGCGTCGAATTAGTTTTAATTCAAATCTGTTTCTGTGTTTTATGGTCAAGCAACTGTCTTTTTAATCGACTCAATTCGATTGCATATCGTATTGTTTTAATGTCGAAATTTTTGAAAAAATCATACTTTTCCAATTTTTTTTTGCAATTTTGACTGGACGATTTTTTTACGAAGAGATGTGGCTAGTCTGGCATGAGGTCCAGGAAATTGGTTTTCTTATATGAAAATTGATTGCAAATTTAGCTTTCATTTTTTTGCTTTTGTCATTAAAATCAGAGATTATAGCAACATCTTATGCGCAATTGCTCCTGTTGGGTATGCAGGTTGTTTCTCTGCAAATTTTTAAACAAGGTGTTTCTGTACCTTTAGGAAATTTCAGGTTTGGTTTTCTTACTCCCTTTGCGATAAGCAAGAGCATTTCACTCGGGAACTAGATTTTTCCCCGTAAATAACTTTGCTCACGGGATCGAATCTCCACTTTCAAGATGTTCACTTCTACCCAACTTGCACTATTAACAGTTAAAAGCTTTAGTCGAACAGCTGGTCTAAAGCTAGTGAAAAGATAGTGGGTCTACATCTTTACATTAGCTAGCATAGTGTAATAGAACGACTATTCTTTTTCTCCAATCTAAGTCGCATTTATTAGTGCTATTTTTGGTGGCATTTTTGAAAATAGCTGCATTGGCAGTTTCAAAGCAGGTGCTTTGCAATTAGAATAGTAATTATTCAACACATGTGGTGCAATTAACCGAAAAAAGCTATTTGTTTCGATAGTACAGTCATAAAAACTCGATTTCAGAAATTTTTCATTTCAGTATATCTCGCAATTTTTTGAAATGCATTTTTTTTAATAAATTTTTTCTTGATACTCGATGGCCAAATTATGTCTTTGTATTTGGATTTCAGAAATTTCAGTATATCTCGCAATTTTTTGAAATTTATATTTTTAACATAATTTGGCTTGATGCTTGATGGCAAAATTACGTCTATTTGTATTTGGTGCCGTTTTTGCTGCAATGAATATTGGTAATTTACTAGCATAAATAGCTGCTTTATTGGTGACAATTTTTTGTAATTGTTAAGGCCTCTGTTGTTTAATTGTTAAGGCGTCTTGGCGCAGTTGCGAGGACAAGGGACTCTTAATCTTGCGGTCGTAGGATCAAATCCGCCGCTGCAAAATTCTTAATTTTCGAGGCTGATTGTTTTTTTTCTCATTTCATTTTGTGTATAAAGAAGTTTCGGATATAGGTTGATATTTTTGGCTTTATTGATTGCGTCCCTATTTTGTCTGTTTAGCTTGACGGGTGTTTTGTTTCTTTAACTTGTTTTGCTAGATTTTTAAAGTATTTTCCAGTGGCTGAAAAATGTTACCTTATTTTTAATCCAAAGTTATCTGTTAGAATCATTAATTTTTTTGAAATTAAAAGAAATCATTTTTAGATCTCTTTTTTTTCAGATGCTTGTTTCTGATTTATTTTTTCTAGATCTATCAGTGCGTCGAATTAGTTTTAATTTAAATCTGTTTCTGTGTTTTATGGTCAAGCAATTTTCTTTTAATCGACTCAATTCGATTGCATATCGATTGTTTTAATGTCGAAGTTTTTGAAAAAAATCATATATTTGCAGATTTTTTTTTTACAATTTTGACTGGACGATTTCTTTTACGAAGAGGTGTGGCACGAGGTCCAGGAAATTGGTTTTCGTATATGAAAATTGATTGAAAATTTTGCTTTCATTTTTTTGATTTTGTCAATTTTATCAGAGATTATAGCAAAATCTTATGCGCAATTGCTCCTGTTGGATATGCAGGTTGTTTCTCTGCAAAATTTTAAATAAGGTGTTTCTGCACCTTTAGGAAATTTCAGGTTTGATTTTCTTACTACCCTTGCGATAAGCAAGGGTATTTCAATCGGGGACTAGATTTTTTCCCCTTAAATAACTTTGCTCACGGGATCGAATCTTCACTTTTAAGATGTTCACTTCTACCCAACTTGCACTATTAACAGTTAACAGCTTTAGTCAAACAGCTGGTCTAAAGCTAGTGAAGTGATAGTGGGTCTACATCTTTACATTAGCTAGCATAGTGTAATAGAACGACTATTCTTTTTCTCCAATCTAAGTCGCATATAATAGTGCTATTTTTGGTGGCATTTTTGAAAATAGCTGCATTGGCAGTTTCAAAGCAGGTGCTTTGCAATTAGAATAGTAATTATTTAACACATGTGGTGCAATGAACCGAAAAAAGCTATTTGTTTCAATAGTACAGTCATAAAAACTCGATTTCAAAAATTTTTCATTTCAGTATATCTCGCAATTTTTTGAAATGCATAATTTTTACATATTTTTGCTTGGTACTCGATGGCCAAATTATGTCTTTGTATTTGGTGCCACTTTTGCTGCTTTGCATTGTCAATTTACTAGCATATATAGCTGCTTTATTGGTGACTATTGTTTGTAATTGTTAAGGCCTTGTGGCGCAGTTGCGAGGACAAGGGACTCTAAATCTTGCGGTCGTAGGGTGGAATCCACCGCTGCAAAAGTTTTAAATTTTAAGTCTTATTGTTTACTTTTCTAATTTATTTTTAATCAAGGTGTTTCTGTACCTTTAGGAAATTTCAGATGTGGTTTTATTTACTACCTTTGCGATAAGCAAGGGTATTTCAATCGGGTACTAGATTTTTTTCCCGTAAATAACTTTGCTCACGGGGTCGAATCTCCACTTTCAAGATCTCCACTTGTTTCAAGATGAATAACGTTTTTTCCTTGTTTGCTTGTAAGCATTTGATTGGCTGAAAAGTTAATTGAGTAATAGAATGCAATTTGTATAATTAGCGTAAATAATCTCATCCCCGAAAGGCAAGAGTTTTTTCAGGATTCGATCGCAGACATATTACTGTTTCTTGTCTACAAAAACGACCCATTATTTTCGTGAGAAAAGACTTGATTTTTTTTTTCGTTCTGACGATAATACGAATCTATTTTCTCTTTGATGTACATCTTTGCGAGGAGTACCCATTTAAACTCATGGATGTTTCAATTACATACTTAATTTTTCTGCGTTTCGACTTGACTGTTCAACTTATTTTGGGACTAAATGTCTCCAATTTAGATGAATCATTTTGTTAAAGAATATTTACAGCTAGATGGAACCTTGTTGCAAGTTTTTAAGCATAGAACAAACTGAAAATTGTAAGAGTCTTTATGCTCCCATAATAAAGTACACTATATTGAATCGAAAGCTTAAATCATAATTACTTTTATAGTGGCAGACGAGGTGATCTCTAGCTATTAAGAGATGCAATTTACTTAAAATTCCATTTTTGGAAAGTTTTTTATTAGTGCTATGTTGAATTTGCGTTTGAAATGACAATTTCTAGTCTGTTCTAATCCTCTTTCAAATTCAAAGTGGTACTGTTAAACTATCTTCACAAAATGAAGTTTAATGTAAATTGCATCTTTTTGTGCTCAGAGACCCCTCATCTGCTACTATTTTGTTACCCTTGCGATAAGCAAGGGTATTGCAATCGGGTAGTAGACTTCCCCGTAAATAACTTTAGGCTCAGGACTCAGCTCTAGTGGTACCTTGTTTCCAATGGTATCAATAGTAAAAAGTGCATCGATGCTTAACGTGGTATTTTTTATAAGCTCCATGCAGTTACGACGCGGCATTTTGTTGTTATGTTAAAGATTAGCAAATTAGTTTTGGTAGGTTTCTAATATTTTTGGTACATTTTCGGCACTGAGATCGGTCGGCTTTAATTATGTCGGTTTCCTTTCCTAATGTTTCCTTTCCTAATGAATTTTCTTTGGTATTATTTGGTAGTGATTGAGTTCTTTAAATCAAATTGTGGAAATAAGACTGTTCTTGACTCTTTTAATAAAATGAAAAAAATAAACACAAAAAATTTTAGAAATTTTTTTTCGCATTTAAAGTAACAAAATTTTTTGTTTTTGATTTTACGATAGGCTGTACTTATAGCACTCTTTTTGGTGCAAATAAAATAGTTCATTAGCTTTTGCAGATTTTTGTTCAGTTTTTTGAGTTCTTGGATATTTGATTTTTGAATTTTTTTTCATTCTCATTGTTTTTTTTCTTTTTTCTCGGTTGAATAAATTGCGAACTATATTTTTTGACTCATTGGGCTTATATTGCGTCCTATAAAAAGCAATAAAAAGTTGTACGCGTGTATAATGAAGGGGATGCGACTTTAAAAGCTTGTTATCAGTTTTTAAGTCTTTTTTTTAAATTTCTTCTTTTTCCTTTTTTTGTTCCTTTTTTCTTCTCGGTTTAATAAGTTCCGGCCTATTTTTTTATCAGTATATTGGCCTCATATTTTGTCGTTTGATATGCAAAAAATTTTTTGTGTGCTTGTGCGTATTGAGCGGAATGGGGGATAAAATTTTTTATTAGATTGTCTTTTTTCAGAATTTTTTCGGCTTAAAGGTTTCCTCTCAGGTATTTTTGGCTTGATTACAGCTTGGTAAGTTTTCTTCTGATTTTATTTTTACCTTTATTGTCTTGATGTGGGTTTTTAATACTTTTTTCATTAGTTTTGATAGATTTCGGCATTTCTGATTTTTTTTTTCGATTTAGTGGCTGTTTTGTATTGTATCGCAAGTGGCTCGAAGCTCGGCTTCGCCTCTTTGTACTAATATTTTGATTTCAGCTTTTGATTCAAAATAGTGTAATTTTTTATGGGACCAGCAGTGACTCTTACGACAAGTTTGAGCGTGGTCAATGCTCTAAAATTTGCCACAAGTTTCCATTTAGTTTTATTCTAGTAATGAAGTTGTTTGATAATCAAGTGTTTGAAGTTGTTTCTCGTTCAGATCCTTTTATCGCACCTTGTTAAAAAAAGCTATACTAATTTGAAAGAATAAAAAACATTTTTTTTTTGTATTTTAAGATTATTGTCGGAACATTGTGCTGCTTGTTTAGTAACCGGCTATCCTTATTTTCAGTTTATAGTTGTTTGATATATTGATTAGATTATTTCGAATGCATCATCGCATAATGGTTCCGCGTCTGTTTGTCTCGCGAAAAACATAGTTTCGAGCCTCGCTCGGATCACTCGTTGCTCATCCCAGTTTTTGCTTCGTTTTTCAAAGTTTCTTAAGTAAGGTAGCCTTGAAGCTTGTAGCTGATCTCGTTGCGTATCCTTTTAAAATATAGAAACATTACTTTGATAAATTTATTCTTCTGCTTCATATTAAGAGCATTTAGCTTGTTTTTCATTTGATTGGATGCCTGTTCAGGTACACGATAGCAGGAGTACTTTCTGACATTCAGGACTATTTCAAAATCAACGACACTCAGGGGGGACTAATCCAGACAGTGTTCATTCTAGTCTACATGTGCTGTGCACCCCTGTTTGGTTACCTGGGGGACAGGTTCACCCGCAAGTACATCCTCATAGGGGGCATCCTCGCCTGGTCTTTCTTCACTCTGATGGGCTCATTTGTGGGGCCGCATCACTTCTGGCTATTCCTCATGTTGAGGGGACTAGTGGGAGTTGGAGAGTCAAGCTATATCACAGTATCGCCAGCTCTGATTGGTCAGTTTTCATCTGTGATTCTTTTTCTTTGAGAAACTTGTCTTAAAATGGGCCAATATACCGCAGGTGAAATTCTTCGATTGTTTTGTGAATCGGGAGAAAAATCTGTTAGGAGGTTCTTGAGGAGCGAGCATTTAAAAAACTCGATATTGGAATTTCCCGAAACTTCGGCAGTTGTATTCCAAGGTTAAGTTGAAATTCGTTGCACCAAAATTAGTTGCTGTTGACACATTATTACCTATCTTTATTTGAATGAAAATTATCAATATTTAGGAATTAAAGTAAACTCAAACTAAATTCCTTTGAACAATTTCATCTTTTTTTTTGAAAATTTCTTGTTATATATTTCAGGCGACTTATTTTCCGAGTCAGAAAGAATGGTCGCTCTATCTGTATTCTCATTCGCTGCTCCATTTGGAGCCGGCTTCGGTTACATTCTTGGGTCACTCACAACTTCAATTGCGAAGGATGCCGGTGCCGACCATGACAGTGCCTGGCAATGGTCTTTACGGGTCACTCCCACTCTAGGCGTAATCGCAGTTATCTTGGCGGCGTTTTTCGTTCCGGAACCAGCGAGGGGTGCCCGGGAGGCTTCGAATGATAACGGGCTGGAAATAAAAGTGGAGACTTCGCTCAAAGACGATGTGATGTACTTGTTCAAGAATAAAACTGCAGTAGCTGTTACTGTGGCTTACACTTCAGTTACATATGTGTTGGGTTGTCTCTCATTTTGGGCTCCGGTATTCTTAGAAGATGCATATCTAGCACAAGGTGAGTGTCTTCGAAGTTACCTCTAATATTCAAGTTGTACTCACATTTAAATCCGCCCGTTAATGGGAAAGGAAAAAAGTTGATCAACTTTTCTTCTTTCACATTCAAGGGCGGATTTTAATGTCAGTATAACTTGAATACCAGAGGCAACTTCGTAAAAACTTAAATTCGAAATTATTGAAAATTTTTTTGGGTTGAATTGCTATTCTTGTGGTTGACTGCTCTCGATGAACCAGAGGAATGAATATTTTTCATGCAAATTGGTTAGTGAATGCTTTTTTTAACAGTTCACATTCGGTAAAAAATATTCTCCTGTAAAAATTATGCTTTTCAAAAGTGCATTTAAAAAAACAAACTGTGGTTAATGCAAGACTGTGATTATTCATAACGGAAAAAATAGGCACGCAATGAATATATTTTGTTCAGTGTATTTTGTGTTTTTTTCATTTGAAGAATAACGTAATTTGAACTTTCAGCCTAATTTTTTCCTTTAAAAACGCGGCGTTCGACATAATTTCATGTTTTTTTTTGTCATTGTAAGGTCGATATACATGACTAATGGGCAAAATGATTGATAACAGTTACTTTCAATCAACATGAACTTTCTTTCTAGGCCAGAACCCGAGCAACACAGTCATATCATTCGGCTTCGGTGCAGTCACGTGTGCGTGTGGTGTGATAGGAGTAGCCTTAGGAGCGTTTGCCGCCAAAATATATCTAAGAAGGAGGTCAAATGCAGAACCACTTGTTGCTGCGTATGGACTGATAGCAGCAGGTCCTCTGGTCTTCATGGTCGCTGTTATCGTGGAATATTGTCCAGCTGCTATTTGGCCGTTTGTGATATTGGGCGAAATCGCACTGTGTTTGAACTGGGCGCTTGTTCCGAAGATTTTGATCGACTGTGTTGTGCCGAATAGAAGAGCACTTGCATCCGGTCAGTTCTTGTTAATTTCAATCAGGTAGATTAATTGTCCTAGAGGTAAAGGGAAAAAAATTAGTGCTGCCTTGCTGTTTACATGGAAATGATTGTAAAATGCAGGAGTTTTTGTTCTATATCAGTGCTTAGATATTAAGAGCATACATCACGATGATTTTTGAATCGGCGACATCTAAATTACGTGAGAGAGACACTGAACGCTTTACCTCCGATAAACATTCCTAAATATATATTATTCAAGTGTGTTCATTTTTATTTTAAGTAGTTAATGAAAACCAAATTTCCCCTGATTTAGATTGGGTAGATTTTGTTCTGCTGAAATATTAATTGGCTTCTTGCAATATATTCTTTAAGCTTGCGATGAGCAAGCGTTATGCAAGATATATTTAGTTACTGCTGTGAGCTGTGGTTTAGTAGTTAGTGCAATATCTAAGTGTACATCCGCAGCAAGTTAGGTTAAACTGAGCTCACGGAAAAATCGAATTGAACGTATTCTAAAAAAAAATTGATTTTACAGCGATATAAAAAATCTGCTTTTTTCCAATTAGCAATTTTTTGTTCACACGTCAATTTTTTGTTTACACGCGCAAACTTTTGCTATATTTTGAGTTTACTTTTTAGACATCTAGCCGCTAGAGACATCTAGTCGCTAGGTAGCAGTTGTGAAAACATTAGTCTAAACCTTGAGTCTTGGCTTTGATCCCGTATAGTGTAAATTGTTTTATTTTTCAAAGCCCGTTGTTGCACTTTAGAGCTCCCAATAGCAGTGATTGCGAAATGCAGCTAGCATGTGTCAATTTTGTGTGCAAGTAGTTTAGCCCAAGTAGCTATGGTTTAGTGGATAAGTCAGGTGACCATCTTTATCATCATGAAATTTTGCGGTTTGACTATGATTTCGTTTAAAGTTCAGTTCATTTCCTTTGTTAAAAGGAAGGCAAACTCCACTATCGAACAGCAAAAATAAAGGCCAGGAAAAACGTGAATTACTTGGTTTTGAAAGAAGATTTTTTTTTCTAAATACCAGCGGAATAAAAATATACCTTTTGATCCAGTATTCTCAATTTGGGCTAATTTTATCAAACAGTTTCAACAAGTCAATTTTTTTCTGTTTCCTTGCGTTCAATGACTTTTTTTACAACTGTCTGTCTGCTTTGTTTTTTGTACAAGTTCTGCTGTCTAATAACAAGAGTAAAACTACAAAAAATGGAGCTTGGTTTTTTAAAGATATAGATATTGTTTAGTTTATTGCGTTTCGTTTTTGTTTTGTTTTTTTTTCTGCAATTTTTTTCGAACTCAATCAGCAAAAAAAAATTAAAATTTTTATATTTGATTTTTGTCGTTATTGAATTAAGGTGTAGTGGTATCATCTTGAAAAATGCTGCATTAAAAATAGTTTAATATTTTTTGTTTATTGAAAATCGATATGCGTGATTAAGTCTAAATGGACGAAGTGAATGATTACTTATTTTTGTTCAGGAGAAATTTGTGATGTTGTGTTTTATCTTAGTTTGCTGGCCTTCTCTTTTCTTGGCACAGTCATTATTTACACAAGCGAAACGTAGTGTCTTAATACGAAGTCAACTTTTTTTTCTAACCCAAGTCGCTAATATTGGTGCTACTTTTGGTGGCACCATGGTTTTCACAAAACTGGTTGTTAAACCGATGGAAAGACTGTCTACTCCTTTGTGTGCAGTATATTTTGCAAGTCTTTTTTTAACCGTTCAGACGGCATTCGAAACTTGCAGTGGGCGTTTTTTTGACGCATTTTTTTTTTTCATTTTCTCAAAAGTTACCCTGCCAAATCTGAAATCACCAGACTTCAAAAAAAAATTGTTATTCGAATCTCAACGGCAGAAGCTGCTACGCGATGTTTATTTAGAGAATAATTATGACCTTAGAAAATGCTCAAGTTTTGAACCGTTGATAGTTTCTTCGAAAATATATTTTTTTCTTGAAATCTACCGTACCGAAAAAGAAATCTGAGATCAAAATTTCAGTCGCAAGAAACGGTGTTAGGAATTTTCATGCATAAATGAAAACGGCAGCGCTTTTTTTTTAGTAGAAAAAAGTTATAGAAATAAAAATTGTCCAATTTTGAAATTTTGACTATTTTTTGGAAACTTTTGATTTTCTCTAAAACCATTCTGCTAAATTGGAGACGATGGGTTCAATGGAAAGATCTAGGTGCGTGAATTTTTCCAATATTATTTTTGCTACGCTTATTTTATAGAAAATTCTACAAAGTTTGAAATTGCTAACCCTTTTGTCAGGTGATGTCGAGGTACTCTCAGCGGTTTTAAATTTTGCCTTCAAAAACGTTTTTTGAAATTCTCAACTCTACAGTGGGATGCTTTCTGGGTACTCTCAGCGGTTGCAGATCTTGCCTCCAAATTTGACTGCTCAAATCATTTTAGTTACTGAGATATGCGGTCTTTTACGTTTTTTCTAAGTTTTTCTAAAATTTTTCAAGTTTTTTTTAACAAACAGTTACCTCCAGCTGGGACTGGACCCTAAGTTTGTTTTGATTGTTTTTTTGTGGCTATTTAAAAACTGTGTAGTGACCATAGAGCAGACGCCGGAGCCTAGCAGAGATTTTTGCTTTTTCAGTTTTTAGTGTTTGACTTTTTGGAGCTACTTTTTGTCGCTTGTTTGCAAAATGCAGCTTCACTTCTGTGTTAAAATAGTCAACCCTGCAGTTGGGTATTGTGAGGTTACTCTCAGGGTTTACAAATTGCGCCTTCAAATATGACTGCTCAAATGCTTTTAGTTTCCGAGCTATGACGTTTTTTTTACGGTTTTTTCAAAAAAAAATTAAGTGAATTTATTTTAAAACATGACGAAAGTTGAAATTCTGGACCCTGTAATTAGGTGCTGTCAGATTACTCCAGGGGGTTCCAAATCTTGCCTTAAAATATGACTGCACAAATCTTTTTAGTTTCCGAGATACGACGTTTTTAATTTTTTTAAATAACAGATATATAAAAACTCAACTGAATAGCGTGAGGTGCTGTCAGTGTACTCTCAGTCGCTGCAAATCTTGCACCTAAATGTGACTGCTCAAATCTTTGACATTGATGTTCCGAGATTTGAAATTTTTTTGATTTTTTCAGAAACTTTGAAAAAATTTAGATGCTGTCGAGGTACTGTCAGGGATTGGAAAACTTGCCTTCAAAAGTTATTCAAAATTTGAAACTCTTCACTCAACAGTGCCTCCAAGTTTGACTGCTCAAATCATTTTAGTTTCTGAGATAGCCGTATTTTATGCTTTTTCAAAATTATCTAAAAGCTTACGATCTAAAATAATTTCCATGTTCGAAATACTCAACACTATGACGAGGTGCTTTCAAGGTATTCTGAGGATTTTTGTCGGGACTCCCATGGCGACTGCTTAACGCCTTTTTCTTTCTTAGATATGACTTTTATCTATTTTTCGAAAGTGTTAATTTTCATTTGAATACTTAAAATTTTGAATTTGTTGACCCTTTGTTGGGGTATTGTCACATTACTACCAGCGGATGCATATGTGGCCTCTCAATCTACTATTATAGCTCAATTTTGTCATTGAACTTACAATTAAATTAAGAGAAAAGAGTCTGATATTAAAAAATTAATTACGCTGGTTTATCAATCCCATTTGAATGAGATTTGTTGCTTTTGTAATAGAAATTCTTTCAATTTTTTTTAAATATAGAAAGTGCGGTTTTATGCTGTCGGCCATATTATGGTTTCGTTCACGAAGATCGGAAACCCATTAGTTTTGCAGATTTGACCGTTTTAGTTCGAAAAAACCTTTGAAGTCAAAATTATTTTAATCGTTCAATTTTTGAAATCAAAAGCGTTGTTGGGTTCCCCCGTCTTTTTACATATAAATTTATATCCCGCGTCATTTATCACAATTTTGAATATAGTGTTTATTATATATCTCGCGTCTTTTATCACAATTTTTAATATATTGTGTTCAAATTAGTCCCTAATTGAATTCCCCATAACAAGGAACAACTACTTGCTAGTGAAATCTTTTTGATTTTGAGTACTAGACATCAACATCTATCACATAGTGTGAAAATGCCTAAAACGCCGATTATTGTCTAGAAGTTGATTTTAGTTGTTAGCGTGGCTTGATTTGCTGGCAGACAGATTTTGAGCAACATACAAATCAGAGTTTTAGATCATGTTAAAAGGTTGAAGTGTAATTTTTTTCTTTCGATTTTACTATTCAGAATTGTTTGTGATTAGAAATATGAGTGTCAGAAAAGGTCTAATTTGGATGAAAAATCATGGAAAAGCAAAACTGATAATTGAGTGGTGTCTGAATTCGCCTTTAGGCAACCTCAACCGGCAACGCAAAACTTGGTTTTGGGGTGACAAGAAGACATTAGTTCCTTGTCTGAATTCAGTAGTCAATTCCTTCAAAAGGCTGTAAAAAAATATTTCGTGTTTATTTCATGTACTATTATTGTTAGTAAAAAACAGGAGGAACGCATAGAAAATCAACGTCAAAGGAAAATGGTTAAATAGATGAATAATATCACTCCTAATATAATTTGCGACGTCCATTTGACCCGGCTCATGTCTTCAGTTTTTCGGTCGAAAGTTAGATTGTGGATTCGTGTACCACCATGAAGCACTAAAGCACTAAAAAGACGCTGTTTTTGCCGAATTTTCTGCGCCGCAGGCAAATTTTTTAAAAAAATAAGCAGGTCAAAAAAGTGGTTTTTGGGCATTTTTTGGAAAATTTTGACCAAAAAATCGCGTTTTTTTTTTTGGCGCAAGCTCCCCTCAAAGTTAGCGCATATTGGCGCCAAAGGCGCCCTTAGAAAAATTTTAGGGTCGGTCGGCCAAAAATGGATTTCTTAAAAAGTACCAAAGGGGGTACCCTTTGGGTCGGGAGGGGGGTCGAATCACTAAGGGGGGGGGGGGGTTGCGTCCGCCCCACCCCCCCTAAATCCGCCCCTGACCATGATCTGTGCTTTTTGTGTTTTTTTTAAATTTCAAATAAGCTCCATAATAGATTGTTTCCTCAATATTTAACAATTTTATTTAGCACAGGGATCCCCAAAGTAATATAGTTTTAACACGACAGCTTCAACAGCGAGCTGAACAGCTCGTTGGATGTTCTTTCCATTTATAGTTAAATGTTTTCAATTTCAATTCGTTTTTTTTTTCAGGTATCTCCATGGGTGTCACCCACCTGTTTGGAGATGCATACAGTCCCTTCTTCGTGGGACTATTAGCTGACGTCACTTATGGCAACAGTTCCCACTACAACCAGTTCAAAGGACTGCAACTGGGCGTGCTCACTTGTCCCATCGCGTGTGTCATAGGTAAGCATATGCAACATGTCGGATTCCTCTGAAATGAACTCCATGTTAAAGGCATTTCCTTAAAAATATCATTATTTAGGTTTAAAAAAGTATGATCGACGTAACTTAGCCCATGATGAAAGTTTGAATATAAAAAATGATGCGTTTTTGCGAGAAAGAAGTTATGATAAATGAATTAATCAGGTCTACCTTAATCTAACCCAATCACTTCGTCCAATACATTCGATTGTGATTTTCGTTTCATCAATTCCTCTGGTGTTTAGGAGCCGCCGCCTTCTTTGTTTGTGCAATTGTATACGACGAGGACCACACGAAAACCGCCGAGATTGTGGCCGAAGCGAGACGAGCAAGACTAGAAAGGGGTCGAGGGGGCGGCAGGCCGGGCGTGAATTCAGGGGGCACTCTAGCCGAACACGCGGCTGTGCTAGAAGGTGGCATGGCAGAAGATACAGACCCTTTGATTTAAGTTGACGAGACTTAGATTACGAAAATGTTCTTGTATAGGAGTTAGCGTAACGAGTTTGCTGATCGTAACGTTTCAGCAGGTTTTTCGTAACGTTTCAGCTGATCGTAACGTTTCAGCAGAAGAATAATTCATTCAAGTCAAAATAAATTGATATAACTAAATAAATTAAAGGACTTTGTTTCAAAAAGATTTTGTGGAAACATTTTATGGTACGGTACAATGGGATGTTACGGGTTTTTACAATAAGTATGTATGACTGTCTTTTGATTTTAGCTTTAAGCGCCCATAGGCAAGCTCGTTGCACGACTCCGTTTCAAATCACCACCAAATGAAATTTGTGTATTTTATAATGTTTCTGAATAGTTTAGTGCCACTTTCATTTAAATCAACTCAATTGTTTTCTGGTACAGATTTCTATCGATTTTGTGATTCCGTCTTATATGTAGAATAGAGTGTAAAAAGTAGTTATATAAGCTAAACAGTTTGTTTCAAAGCAAGTAAGTGCGAGTGCTCATTCCAATCAGACTGAGGAGTTAATTTAATCGATACAATGAGATCTTTTTTTATAGCTGGCGAAATTTTACACCATAAATTTTTTTCACATCTCGTAAATAATCTCTGTGCCATCTATACTGTGCTCGTGCGTGCTTGCTATGTAGGCGTTACATAAAAAGACCTTGTTATTCGAGTTTCTCTTAGCTCTGCCAGAAATTCTCGGTTAGCTTTCAGCTAATTGTGTGTCGGCTTTAATTCTGCCGGCTTAATTCCCTTTTTCAACTTTCGGTCGTATCGATTGCTATTGATTAAATCTGTCTAAAAGTTTTTAAAGCTTCAAACTCTCCGACACTTCGCAATTTTATTTTGTTCGAAATTTTTGTCGATACTTCTCGAATGGCATGCTGTATTTAGCATATCGTTGTTGAAGACGCTACTTGAGATCATGAATAAATGCTTAGTTTTCTTGAATGCGCTTTCCGATAATTTTTTTAGTCTGCATACTTTTTATATTGGTTCAATTGCTTTCCAGCTTTTTCCTGAAACGATAAATTTTTTAGACAATAGACTGTGGTTTAATAAGGCTCAAGTGAGATAAAATCAAAGAATACTTTCGATATTTTTTTGCTCTGTAATTTCAGAGTTCATCGTTTTAAAGTGTCACATTTAGTTGTTCGTAGCTGTTTTATCTGATACACTTGTTATATTTCTCTCGTTCTGAAAGTTTTTGTATTTTCTCTGAGCAGCGTAAATTTAGTTTAGGTAATTGGTTTCTTACAACACAATTTACTGTATGTGTAGCGTCTTCATTATAGATACATTTGAGATTATTTATGAAAGGATTTAAGGTAATGGCACATCGAAATTTTTGAAATATCGCTTCCATGTTTCTCGAAAAGAGTATTGTTTCAATTTTGATCTCATAATTTTTTTAAGCGAGTATAACTTCTATGATTTGCGATAAGCAAGCATTATCAAATCATAGAACGTAGACTCTTTCTATGATTTCTTCTTTCAATTTGTATAACCGAAACAGTGAATTCTCTGGTTTTTGGACTCGGGATTTTTTTTTTCGGACTTTCTTGTATCTCTATGCTCTTGTCCGCTTAGTTCTCTGAGCTCGCATTTTGTTTTGGTGCAGCTAAATGGTTTTCAATCTTTAGTGTTTTGAGTTAGGATTTTAAAAGTTTTTATGGCTTCAAAATTTGTTTAGGCTATTCTCTCACGGCAGAACAGGCTTTTACCCGAGTTTCTTTTGCGTACTCACGGCCTATTAAGTTTTGCCTGAGTTCTAGTTTAAAGGTAGTAGGTGGGTTCTCCGACAAGTTTTCATCATTAGGATGATCATTTGAAAATTACATTTATAAATTTAGATTTGGGTGAGATTTTTTCTTGACTATGCCTATTTGGTCTCATTTTTTGGTTGACTAGCTACAATGCTAAGTTTGTGTTGCATCGAATGTGACGAGAAAGTCCGCTTCATCTCTGTGTTTGGCTTTTCCAACATCTTAACAGCGAGTGTGGATTTACAGATAATCGTACAATTACAACTACTTTTCCGATGCAACTGGCCAAGTTATGATGCCGTTTTTTTCTAACCTTTGTCGAAGCATTAAAATGAATGCAGTTTTCCGTGCTTGCAAGAATTATGGCCATGAAAATTTGTCAGTGGTTGTATAAAATCAGACAAATAAATGTTTAAGCTTGCCTGAAAATCCAGCAGAAGGTGGTGCAATAAAGTCACTAAGAACAAGTTTAGTTTTTCCCCGACTTTTTATTTCAATAAATGTTTTTTGCCGAGTTTATCTTCTGTCGTACTAAGATAACGAATCATATTTTATTTTAGTTTTTTTCCTTTAGAACACTTTAAAAAATTTAAAAAAGGGATTATCCCTCAAACAAAAATCCTAGAATTCTTTTGGCTAAATTGAAAAAAAAAATGGATTTCGGGTTAAATTCTTTGATTTTAAAATGCCTTGTCTAGACAATCGACTCCAACATAGATATAGTTATAAGGATTTGTTGATAGTACGAAGTAAATGCGGTGTGCCGCAAGTCTCAGTAATAAGGCTTTTATTTTTTCCTTTATATCAACGACTTTCCATAAGTGATTGAAGATAGCAAAACATTTTTTTTCGCAAACGACTTTTTTTTTATTGTCGGATGCATTTTGCCAAAGTCTATAAAATGCTGAATAATGGTTGAATGATACCCATAACCTTAAATACAGATGAAGGTAATTTGGTAACTATTGGCGTCAAATAAAAAATTAAAATCTGAAATTTCGATTGCGAAAATTAGTAGCTCCAATACTCAGACGAAACGCTCTTGCAACTATCTTGGTGTATTTAAGGACAAAAATTTCAGTTTTAACTATTAAACAAATACACTCAATATAAATTTGCTAGGTTTTTGGGAATACACCAAAACCTATCCGCTGGTAAATCTGAAAACTGAAATCCACTTTCGAAATTAGAAATTGATCACATTTTTTGTGATTTTTACTTTTTGCTGTGCAATAGAGGAGTTTCCTTTCTTTTTAAGAAAGCAAATGAACTAAACTTAAAAGAAATTATAAGTCAAATTGCGAAAAATCAAATTTGAGCTTGGGCAAATCTTAACTGTTTTCCTAGTGCTATAAAAAGTCTTCACCACGCTCATTGATTCGAATTTACTGAAAAACTTGAAATTCTTTGATTTTTATTTGACAAAAACTGGAGGAGTTTTGGAACTGAATTTTCTTCAGCTTTGGTAATGAAGCAGTTGCTTCGAGTGTCATAAAAATTTGTACAAATCACATCATTTGCCATACAAAAATATGTGCAAGTATTCAATAAGAAGATTGAGCATCAAGCGATTTTCGAACACGTATAAGATTCATCACAGCTCGTTTGACTAAATCAAAGAAGCAACCATTTGTGAAAGCACGTATTTTTTTTCAAATTTTCAGGAAGATAACTGCAATTGCTCTCCGTGCAGTGCTTTGTTGGAGTAAAAGGAAAATGAAAACAATTTTAAAAAGTCGAGAAGATTGATTTCAAATCACATATCAAAAACGAAGTCAGGAGAACATTAGAAAAGTGTTAATAAATTCAAAAAAAAACAAAGTAAAAAAATTGAAGGAAAAACATTTTGAAGGAAATTGTTGAAAATTCAAGCATTTTAAAGGACAGTATTTTGACCAGCATTTTGATGAAAAAAACTCAATTAGAAAAATTATATTCTTTTCTAATTTTAATTTGCTTGGCAAACCCATATAGTAAATCTAATTTCGAAATCACGTTCTTAGCGCCATATGTACATTTGTATTTTACAGCGTAACTTGACTTCTTCTTAGCCCATTAAATTGAATGGAACTTTGAAAAAAAAACAGAAATTACAGGCAGATAAGTAATTTAAATTTTAATAAAAATTATTTCCAAGGATTTTCTCTTTAAAGCGAAAAAAGTAACACGACCTGTATCTTGAAAAAGTGACTTCGAGTAGTTCATTGACATTTGAACAAAAATTCAAAAACAATCACAAAAGTTCTCGGAAGTTAAAAGCCTTTAAAACCCAAAATAACAAAAATACATAACCCTGCACAATTGATGAAACACATAAAAACCGTTATTTAATTATACTGACAGTTGATTCCATCACGAGAAAAGTCCGCGCTGTGAAAAAAAACTAGGTAGACAAAAATGAGCACTCAAATGATAAGCCGACAATTACATTTATGATGTGAAACATTTTAGTCAGCAAATAAAACAGGTCAGTCATATTCGAACCCTGAACTTTTGTCGTCGCAGGCATGTCTGCACCAAAACTACAGAATAAAAAGCTGAACAAACAACTGAAAAATTAGTACAAAAAGCGAAAACAAGATACCGCAAAAACATGGCATCATTTGTAAGCGGACAGAGGAGAATAAATCCATTTAAAAAAACTGAAAAAAAAAATGTCGAAGAAACTACACAGTTTTCATACGTTTGTCTTCAAGGATGTTCATTTTAAGCAGTAAATGTCAAGAAGCACCATCACGAGCATTATTATTGTACTAACTACTTGAAAAAATTTTACGCTATAAAGCTTTGAAACCACCCCTGGAAACATCAAAAGGAAAAAATCTGTTTTACAATACTGGATGACTACGCCAATATGAAAAAAGCCTAAATATTTTGAGCCGATTAAACAATTCAAGCTGCAAAAAATTATAAATAAAAAACTATACATAAAATCAAGGTTGGTAAATTAATAAACAATCGAAATAAATGAAAATGAAATTTAATTATAGTGAACATTATATTTATCACAGGAAAAATCCACGCTGTGACAACTACATCGAAAAAAAGCAGACATATGAAAGGAAAATTTGAAAACTCGCCGAAAAAAACAGGTCCTGGTCGGATTCAAACTCAGGCTGTTTGCCGTCTCACAAATAGACGTTACCCCTAGATGTGCAGAAAACTTTAATTTGAATTTATACTAATCTAATTTTCGAAATGATTTTTTGAGACAAATGGTCAAAACAGAAAAGCTTTTGTTGTGAGTTGATAATGCTTGCTAATCTCAAGCCTAGTCACTGATCGAATATACGAACAAAAACACGACGAAAAAGGAGCTCTCAAAGATGCAAAAACGCTTTGAAATGAAATCAACTACAAATTACAATATCCACAGCGGAGTTCAGCAAAAGACGACGTAAAACTAAACAAAGAAATAACTAGAAACAAACACAAAAAAGCTGAACAATAAAAAATAAAAACATCTTTTATAACTTTGCTTGACGGAAATCATTGCCAGGTAAGATGCTAACACCACGAGCTCCCGTTTGAAGACATTGTCCACCAGGCCAATCGACCCAATAGCCTCCAATAGGTCATTGGTCAATTTTCACACACTGGGAACTGTCTAGGTACTCAGAAGAAGTCACTCTGAAGTCACTCTAAATTGTGATCACGCAAAATCAGCAGTCAGACTCTTGATGCTGTCTGCGTTAGAGCGGTTTTTTCAGCATCGGAAGTCCCGGCTTCAGTTGTCCGCTTTCGTGCACTACTTGCAGCTGAAAGACAAATAA